CGTAGTTCGTAGTTCGTAGTTCGTAGTTCGTAGTTCGTAGTTCGTAGTTCGTAGTTCGTAGTTCGTCGTTCGTCGTTCGTCGTTCGTAGTAGTAGTAGTAGGTAGTAGTAGTAGTAGTAGTAGTAGTAGTAGTAGTAGTAGTAGTAGTAGTAGTAGTAGTAGTAGTAGTAGTAGTAGTAGTAGTAGTAGTAGTAGTAGTAGTAGTCGTTAGTCGTTAGTCGTTACTCGTTAGTCGTTAGTCGTTAGTCGTTAGTGGTTAGTGGTTAGTGGGTTAGTGGGTTAGTGGGTTAGTGGGTTGGTGGGTTGGTGGGTTGGTGGGTTGGTGGGTTGGTGGGTTGGTGGTTGGTGGTTGGTGGTTGGTGGTTGGTGGTTAGTCGTTAGTCGTTAGTCGTTAGTCGTTAGTCGTTAGTCGTTAGTCGTTAGTGGTTAGTGGTTAGTGGTTAGTGGTTAGTGGTTAGTGGTTAGTGGTTAGTGGTTAGTGGTTAGTGGTTAGTGGTTAGTGGTTAGTGGTTAGTGGTTAGTGGTTAGTGGTTAGTGGTTAGTGGTTAGTGGTTAGTGGTTAGTGGTTAGTGGTTAGTAGTTAGTAGTTAGTAGGTAGTGGTTAGTGGTTAGTGGTTAGTGGTTAGTGGTTAGTGGTTAGTGGTTAGTGGTTAGTGGTTAGTGGTTAGTGGTTAGTGGTTAGTGGTTAGTGGTTAGTAGGTAGTAGGTAGTAGGTAGTAGGTAGTAGGTAGTAGGTAGTAGGTAGTAGGTAGTAGGTAGTAGGTAGTAGGTAGTAGGTAGTAGGTAGTAGGTAGCAGGTAGTAGGTAGTAGGTAGTAGGTAGTAGGTAGTAGGTAGTAGGTAGTAGGTAGTAGGTAGTAGGTAGTAGGTAGTAGGTAGTAGGTAGTAGGTAGTAGGTAGTAGGTAGTAGGTAGTAGGTAGTAGGTAGTAGGTAGTAGGTAGTAGTTAGTAGTTAGTAGTTAGTAGTTAGTAGGTAGTAGGTAGTAGGTAGTAGGTAGTAGGTAGTAGGTAGTAGGTAGTAGTTAGTAGTTAGTAGTTAGCAGGTAGTAGGTAGTAGGTAGTAGGTAGTAGTAGTAGGTAGTAGTAGTAGGTAGTAGTAGTAGGTAGTAGGTAGTAGGTAGTAGGTAGTAGGTAGTAGGTAGTAGGTAGTAGGTAGTAGGTAGTAGGTGGTAGTAGTAGTAGTAGTAGCAGTAGTAGTAGCAGTAGTAGTAGTATATAATAGAAGTAGTAGTACTAGTAGTACTAGTAGTGCTAGTAGTACTAGTAGTACTAGTAGTACTAGTAGTACTAGTAGTACTAGTAGTACTAGTAGTACTAGTAGTACTAGTAGTACTAGTAGTACTAGTAGTACTAGTAGTACTAGTAGTACTGGTAGTACGGGTAGTACTAGTAGTACTAGTAGTACTGGTAGTACGGGTAGTACTAGTAGTACTGGTAGTAGGGGTAGCAGTACTAGTTACTAGCAGTACTAGTAGTACTAGTAATACTAGTAGTACTAGTAGTACTAGTAGTACTGGTAGTACGGGTAGTACTAGTAGTACTGGTAGGACTAGCAGTACTAGCAGTACTAGTAGTACTAGTAATACTAGTAGTACGAGTAGTAGTAGTAGTACTAGTAGTACTAGTAGTACTAGTACAGTACTAGTAGTACTGGTAGTTGTAGTACTGGTAGTACTAGTAGTACTAGTAGTACTAGTAGTACTAGTAGTACTAGTAGTACTAGTAGTACTGGTAGTACTAGTAGTACTAGTAGTACTAGTAGTACTAGTAGTACTAGTAGTACTAGTAGTACTAGTAGTACTAGTAGTACTAGTAGTACTAGTAGTACTAGTAGTACTAGTAGTACTAGTAGTACTAGTAGTACTAGTACTTGTGCTGAGGGGGGGTGACTTTGATCCAGATGAAGCAAAAACGCGCAGCAAGAGAACAAAGGAACAAGTACACGCCACGAACAGAAACAAGAACAACACCTTCCAATCAGACACGCCGGCAGGCCGGCGGATCAACACATACAACACATAAAACGGGTAAACGTCGTATATCGTAGAATATCCACCAACTATGAACATTTAAAATCATTTTAATTGACCTTTGCATCTTTTCGTTTGGGTGCCTTTTGGCATCAAGTCTGACCACCCAGGTTGATTTTCATGGACCTTTGTTCAAGCTTTGCATCACTTCCTTTGATGGAAGGCCCTATGATTTGCCCAGACTCCCAACGAGCGTTCGGGGCAAACAAGATGCTGATGATGATTATGATGACTGTTATGATGATGATGGTGATGATGATGATGATTAAATTTTGATTATGATGATGATCATGATGATGCTAATGGTGATGGTATGGTTATATAATTGTTCCATGGGAGTGGGATATTTTTTAATCTTATGTAAATCATTAAATCGTTGTAAATCGTAATAGAAACTCAATTGTCGTATGATTAATTGTTCCATGGGGATGGGATACTTTTTAACCTTTGTCAACCCCAAAACAAACCCTACTGTAATTGCAGTATGTTTAAAATGTTTAATTGTTCCCTGGGCCATGGGAGGTTTTGTATTTTAATGCAAAACTTGAAAGAAATCCTAATAGCGGTACGGTTCCCTTGCCAAGCCGCAATGCAATGCTCACTTCGTCAACACATTCATTTGTTTTGTTTGAGGTCGCTAGAAACTCAGTGGTTTTTACGCTATTCTGTTCTTGGGCAAGCGACGGGGCCTGTGCATACCTTTGCCTGCAGGGGGAAGTGTGCTGCAACACCCTGCTCCTTCCTTGTTCATTGATGGCCTGCTGATTTGGATATTAGCGCTGCCAGCGGTAAAAGATCTGCTTATATGTTTTTGCAGGCTACTTCGGAAAAGGCCTGAGAACTTTTGCCTTGAGGCCCTCAAGAATGCACTGACATTGTTGCTCATATTGTGCCCTTTGGTGATGCTCCTTGCATCGTATGGGTTTGCCCTCAACCCCGATATGGCTAAAAATAGATTGCTCGGAAATGCCATTTTCGCCGGCAGTGTGCTGATCCTTTCAGTTTGTAATTGCTTGCTGGCATCGACGTTGAAGACACTATTGAAGAGGCCCGGATGGTGAATCTACTCTGCAGAGGACTAGTACCCAATTGAGCCTTTGCACCGTGCTAGGTTTTGCTGTGCAAAGTATTTGGTAGATGGAGACGTGAAGAAAGGAATTCTGGCCCTTGATTTGGGCACAATTTGAACTTTTCAAGTATTTTTGAACAATCAATCTGATGGAATGGGTTGAATCATACCCGATGCACCACAAAATTCATTTTTTAGATAGTTTTATAGACCAATCTGGACTGCAATGTGGCTCCAGCGGACGATATAGGTACGTATGTTCAAGCTATGTTGCTAGATTTGTCTAGTCCGAGTCTCACAAACAGCACACAATCTCACCCTTGAACAGTTGAAAACTAAGTGCGAAAGGGAGCGACCAAGAGAGAGAGATGCCAATAGATTGATGGCCTCAAATCATCCTCGCAGGTGATGTATACATAATAAAATATTATAATATCATATATATATAGTTATTAACATATATATATATATACAATATATGTGTACTGTGTAAGTATATACTCTATGCATAGTATTCATACAATGTTTTATCTATGGTTGACAATAGATTGGACAGGCAGCCACGTTCCGTGTATGGTTGCAACAGACATCCTCGTGAATAGAGAGTGCCCATGCCAACATATAGTTTGGAATTACTCTGGAAGTGCACGAAGTATTCTTGTGATTCTTGTGGAGCCGTTTCCTGCTTCATGAAGCCAAGAGAGGATGAAATCAGATGTGGCAAACGTCAAGGATACATTGACCATATTGACCAGAGCTCTTTGCTCAGGATGCAGCATGGGGACCACTGGTACACTATTCATGATTACATGTATACAGTATATGGAGACGCTAGCAGTCTGTGTTGATGCTACAAAATGCTGAAAGGGCAAAAACTTGTGCACATCGGTTCCAGTCTGATCGCAGCGCACAGATGGCACAGATGTGGCACAGATGTCATCGCTTTTTTTCTGCAAATTCTTGGTGCCACCTGGCCATTGTCCCTGCCATTGCCATATATTGCCATGTCGCCATGGAACTTTCCCAGGCCATGTCGCCGTGATTTTCTGTGACTCGTGGTTTTGGAACCTTTCTTTACAGAACAGGTGCATGGTATCATCGTCCCAGAGGCACGGGAGCGGTCCTTGTGGAGTGATGAACCATGATGTTATATGATGTTTTTAGGTCTATGATACATGCGAACTTGATCACAAGACAGGTGTTTTCCGCAGCAACGGATGGTTTCACCTTTCTGGTGGTGCTATCCGAAGGGCATAGGACACTCTCACAAGTGACAAGTTCGTCTCTATACATGGTATAGACTGAATTAATAGTCATGCTTCAAATGGTGCAAGACTACAGGAGCAAGCCTTGAAGCCATTCAAGCCATTCCCTCCAGTCTTTCCAGGTGCTCACTTGCAACTCTTCCTGGCACTGGAGCACATATCTCAATGCAGTGCAGCACGAGACTCATGCACGGTGACACCGGTTAGATCCGGTCAGGTTGGTCATCAGTGGTCAGCCAAAAAAAAATCGAGATGTTGCCTGTAGCCACCGGTAGCCCCAGAAGCATCCAGATTTTCTCAGGTCATCAGTAGAACATGGCCTCTTCCCGCAGGAGAAGCCTTTGGGCTTGCATCACATTCTCTCTGCCCAGTGTGCAAGAAAATGTTTCAAGAAATGTGAACTGTCGGGGCTTGCCCTACTTTCGGCGGACTCTGACAGGAGCCGTTTGAGGCCTCTGTGGCTATTTTTAACTTTTGGAGAGGCTATAATTGTGGGCACCGGTGCATGTGTGACCGGGTTGATGTCGATTTCTTGCAGCAACCCATGAAACCAACTCAAGAATAAGATGATAAAAGATGAGGCCCAGGAATCTGTGGTGTCCAGAGGTTCGCATGCGGCAAAAAACTATCGATGCACATGTCATGGCTGTGACCTGTCAGGTCGCGGAATTTCTGCAGCGCAAGAGCTGGAGTACTTCGGCAAAAAAGCCGAGGAGTGAAACAGATGGGGTCAAGTCGGGTCGAGTATCTGAGAGTCAGTTGGCAGTATGTGAAAGTCTAAGCTTGTCTGATCCCAAACAGTGTGAAACGGTGAGGAATGTTGTGATTGAACACTGGCCGTTGGAAAGGAAGTTGTTCTGGTGAAACACAAGGACTCTACCCAGTGACTGCTGCCAGTTTTGTGCAGGGCAAAGAAGCTCCCAAAGATTCTTGCCTGCATGGCTTAGTTGGGCTGCTCAGAAAGTGGAGGCCTACGCTTGGCAAAGCCGGATCCCTGCAGATCTAAGGAATAGTTTTTGTATGTTTTTGTGGTCCGAGGCAGTCGTGCGATCATGTTTTTTGCATATGTGTTGAGAAAACCTTCAACTTTCAGCATGTTCAGCTCCCAAAAAAAGATCTGAAGGTGAATCAACTGTTGCATCGCTCTCCCCAGAAGCATCTGCCTACTGTCACACCTTCGCAACACCAGAAATCTTGTTTCATGGCGTTGTTAGGTGACAGCTTTGCAAGTGCTCGGTGCCGTGAGCAGTGGTCGAGTAAGGGCACCCCAAGGAGTGGGGACCGAAACAACGTGAATCTTGCGCAAAACGTGGAATATTTTACTCTCTTGAGCTAGCGAGTCGGTCAAGCGAAAAGCCACAAGTGATGAGTGTGGGTCACCCGACCTCGCTGCCCCTGACAAGCAGCCAGTCGTGCTCGGATGGCTAAGGAGAGGAGGAAGTTTTTGGCATTTGCAGAGGCAAACATCGTGGAGTTGATTCTGAGTTAATCAGATTTGGGGTGTTGTGATTTTGCCTGGGAGCCTTTCGTTGCACACTCTTGAGCCAAAGTTGTTTGTGTGTTGATCCTTTCACACGCGAAGCCGCATAAGAAACTGGATCATACTGGCATTCTCCCCAGCGGAAATGATGATGATGATTGAGTGTGGATAATCAGATATAATCAGATAATCTAAGCAGAAGACAATCGTGTTTTTAATGCTAAAATTGTGCGTTGTCAATTTATTCAGCAACTGATCAGGGATGCTTTGTCGATTCTGAATCCTGGCCGAACCAAGTTGAGAGGACCTGTTGTACTTCGGCTCTAGTGATGCTGGGGCCTCAGTTGCATAGGAAATATATGGAAAAGATATGGAAATATAGATGTTGGATGATGTTGGGACAGATCCATTCACACTAGCTAGTGACTTCATATTGCTTGCAGCTATCACCACTCTGGCAGGTTTTATCTTCATCACCATGGCCGGCCAGGCTGAAGGGTTGGATTGTTGAAGACCCTTGTCCTAGTAGGCCAGGTTTGAGATGGCTCTTCGATCTCTTTGATCCACGGTATTTTTTGACATGTCGGCACTTTTGGACGTTTTCAAGGAAGTATGACAGAATTATTGCTCGGCAAACCTTCCCCTTTCTGATCTTTGTGTTCGCCTCTCTGTCCAGCGCTTTTGCAGAGGAGAGCGGAGATCTTGACGAATTTGTTGGTACCATTGCCCGCAGGTGCGGTGAGAAATGGTGGATCGTTGTCATTTGGGTGGCATCGCAGCGCCGTGAGGAGATGCTCAGGAACCCTGGCGTGGCTTTCGTGGGGATTCAGCTGGGATCCCAATACAGAGTTGATGATCTTAGATGATCTTAGATGGCTTGAGCATGCTTGAGCAAACCACCCAAGCAGACCATAGCAGACCCATACCAGCCCAGTTAAGATAGTCAAGGAAGTGAGATGTGTGGCCTTGTGGTAGTTCCTGATACTTCGTTCGAGTGGTTCTGACCATCCAATCAGGTGAAGCCGGCCTCACTTCCCTTTGTTTGGCCACAAGCTTCTGAACCACGAGAGGTGGAACCTGTTGATCAGTGCAATGACTTACAGAATTGGCAAGAAGTTTGAAAGATATTGAAAGCACATGAAAGCACACAAGTTGATTCAAGTTGATGAAGTGTAGACACTTTTCCTAAGATCTTCAAAGCGTGCCAGCCAGCCGTGCCTCGCTGTACGATCTCACTGGACCCTTCAGGAAGCAGCTGAGCCACAGCGATTTCGACTTTGGCTGACAGACCAGCACAGCGTTGTGCTTGAGCCTAAGCCGATAGTAGCAGTGCTGCAGTCATATCACAGCTGAGGCTGAGGCCAACATTTTTTTCCTCATATTTTCATGATACTCTCAGACATGTACTGTGTTTATTACAGTTACATGCTATTACCAGTAATTGCTTGAGGTTTTTTCGAATGATATGATATGATGTGATATTGTCAGGATCTCGCATTTTGCGCAGGTCGGGCGAAATCACACATTTGTTTACCAAATGCTGGGAGCCATAGAATGTGGATTGTGGGAAATCTGGAGAAGTGGGTGAAGAAGATGGTCGCTTGAAACAAACATGGTATAAGTACTGTAGGGTGTCGCGGTGTCGCGGTGTAATATAAGCCCCTGCATTCAGAATTTAGATTGAGAGGGAACTTACATCATTCATGCGTAGGCTATTCTGCCTGTGCGTAGGTCCTGCGTAGCCATATATGGCGTAGGATAACGTAGGAGAGGCTGCGTAGTCAGCCTCGCGCGCTTCTTGTTTAGATGTTCTAGATGGTTTTTTTCCGACGTCGGACTCTTGTTTTTCTTGGTGGGTTACAATGATTTTGCATGCAAAATGGATTGTAAATATGAAAATTAACAAGAAACAACCACTTTTTCAGAAAATTACAGTGCCAAGTTTTTAAATCCATTTTCGTTTCGGACTTTCTCGTAGGCTCCGAGTGGGCCCGCGGTAGGAAACGCGTAGGCCCTAGGTCCAATTGTGGCCGTAGCCCATCCAAAGCTTTTCCAAGGTCAATATCTGACTATTCTTCATTGTTCCCGAGGCTTAACTCGCCTTACCGTTTCACTTTTCTAATGTTTCCATGAGTTCATCATGGCTGCCGATCACATGACAAAGTGCTCCACTCTTCATGAGGCTTCCGCCTTCCTTTCACAAGCAAAGAATCGTCATCTTCCAATTCTTCCTATTCCTCTTCTGAACCAGAATCGTGACCACATCACGTCAAGTAAAGAGATCGTTGCAGCATGTTGCAGCAACTTTCGCGGAGGCAACCGTGTAGGCACTTCTTGAAAGGTAACCCTCGCGTAGGCAGTTTTGCATGGGAGATGTGGTTTGCGTAGGCCCCCCGTAGGTGTCCCAATTTGTGTATTGCAGTTTCGCAAGGGAAAAACACAACTGTGATGATTTTCTTTGTGGGTCATGTCAGCGTCTACATCAGGCGTGCAATGTACATGAATCCAAGACATCATTTAAGAAGCAGGCCTCATCACAAAAGAACCACCGCACCTAGACTCGGATAAATTACCAATTACAATTGTCATACATTGTCATGAATGTGATACAGAATGATTGTATGGGTCCCTGTTCTCCATTGGTCTGTGTCTTTTTTTTCGGCAACTGCGTCTGAGACTTGAAGCGCTTTCACATGAAGGTGGAGAAACAGAGTGTGAGCCTGGCGACCCGGAACGGCCCGGAACACTCCCCGAAACAGTTGGGTGCTTGGTCGAAGATATTGGCAATGCAATGATGCAATGATGGAATTGGCCTGTTTCACATGGTTTCTAGTAGCGATCACAACTAAAAAAGGCAACAGTATGCAACACTCTAGTATGCAACATATGCAGTCGCTGTACTCACACTCTTGATCACTCGTGTATGATGGAGCATAGTGCTGGCTCTTGAAGCAGGACTCGGGTGTCCAGCTCTTCTTCCCGTGGTCCAACTTGTCCAACTTGGTCCATTTCAGTCCTATTCATTGACATTTATTGCCTCATGGAAAATGGATGTTGGTTGGATGTTGGTTCGCATTGACTTCAATGACTTCAATGACTTCAACCCATTTCAACCCATTGATATGGCCACGGTCGACTCCAGGTCTCTACTGCCGCTTCCACCAGGCCCAGCCTGTGAAGTTCAGTGACAGGGCGCAGGCTTTGTGCCTTCTTTCGACATCTTTGTGGGATTATGGAGCCAGGCAACTCATGGAATTGCAGTAGATATCTGTAGATTATAAACTATATATAATATATATATATATAACATTACAAACACTATTAATTATTAATATTATAATTATAATCGTTTTATCAATATCAGATCAATATCAGCTTATTCGGATTTATTTGGCACATTTTGTCACTGAATGCAGCTCGAGCAACACACTGCGACATGGCATCCTTTGGATGTGTGGATCAGGTTTGTTTCCGTGATGGACGTGTTGCGAACTTGTTGCGCAGACCCAGGACACCACACCGCTGTTTGGACCCAACAAATGTTTAAAACGCATGCCCCGTGTTTTTGTGTTCCGTTGCTGTGCTGGTGGCATATGTTGGCATTGCATGGCCATTTAGTATATTTAGTTGCTCGGTGAATCAAACTGCGATTCCGAAAAGTGTGACAGTGAGTGACTAGTTGATCTAGTTGCAGGATCTACGAAATCCGGCCTGGTGCTGGTTTTCTTGATGGCTTTGAACAGGTTGAGAATGTTGGAAGGGATTTGAGTTTGGGCCCTGGAGGTTGCATGAGATTTCCCATGGATTTCCCTCAACACTTGTGCTCACCTTGTATATATATATACTTGTATGAGTTTGTATGTCAAGTCTCCATCAAGTCTCCATGAGATGCACCAGAGTTCCATCATGTTCCACCATTACTCGGCCGAACCAAACTTTGAAAGTAGGAAAGCAAAGAACATCCCAATCATGTGGCATCTGCAGGTTTCTGTGCTCTGGAATCTAAAGATCTTTCACAAGAGGCTCAGAGCACATCTCTTGTTTTTTTTCCATGACATTCCATGACTGTTTCCGGTGCCTTTGCTGAGATCGCATCGCTCGGGAATTTCACCATTTGCCAGCTCCCTAGCATTCCCCAGGCACACAACTTCCAGCTTGGTTCGATCATATTGTGAGCTTTCGGCGCTTGATGGCGCTTTCGACTCAGCACGTTTTCTTCTAAGGTTTCGAAGTCCCTTGAGGACCGTCGATGCGTTCTTATGTTGTGGGCCCAGGAACCAGTAGTGCCAGAAATTGGAAGTAATTACAAACAAACAAGCAAGCATACAAACAAATCACAAAAGTTAACAAACCTCAGAATTGTTAAGCAGTTTTTTCTTTTCCAGTAGACAAACGACCGATTTTGTTTTCCTGGTTTGAGGTTCGATCCCCATTTATTGGTGTCAGCTCTACCAATACTTCCAGAAACCCATCCTGGGCGTCATGGACTGATCCCGAGCTTTGCGATGATTGAATGAAGCGGCGCAAAAATGCGCAAACACACCTTTTGTGCATGGTATACTGTGGTGGAACTGTGAAACGGTGCATCAAGCTCCCAACTGTATCCAACAATTATGAATTAAGATGCCTTGAATGGATCAGCATTTTGGGTTGCAGCATACAGTGCTAGGACCAGCCAATCTTCTTGTTTGTTCGGAGTGAGTTGCGGACAGCTTGGCAGGAAAACCCAGCATGGCTCGGACTTTATCTTTTTTTCTTGTAGTAACTGTTCCGTTGCAGCAACTTCAGATGGTGAGTGAATTTTCTACGGCAGGGGTGGTAATAGGTTTTGGTCGCACTATCTTGGAAGTGTTTTTTTATGCTTTTCTCTTGCGCGTGCACTTAGGTTGGATCGTTTTCGTCAACTGGTTCGGGCCTAATACCACTTGACTTTGCATGACAAGGTAGTCCGGAAGTAGTTGTTCGCCAACAGCATGATGCCAGGCCCTAGCTTGCATGGCCATTTGGCTGTCGTGGCTTGGGTGTTTGCCGGCACCAAAACAAAAAAGATCAAAAAAGCCCGTCGACTAAGTATGTTTTGGTACTTGCCATGCCTGCTAAGGCCCAAGACCCGGCTAATCTTTTTGTTTGTAGGAGCCTCGAATCGCTTGGATGCCAGATGACAGAGACAAGCGTATTGGAACACAAGAAACCACGAGAGAGTCACCAAGTGGTACAACACGTATCAAAAAGTACTGCTTGCAGTGGGGGGTGAATGCCAGCTGTCCACCTCTCCCAAGCTAGTGTGAATCGCCATGAGGCCACACTGCTTTCCTGCAGATGCAGGCCTGCAACTGCCGAAACCGCTTGTACATTGCTTTTGATGCTTTTGCACTTATACGTTTTTGTAATAGTGATACTAACTATACTGATTCCATTAGTTGGTATACCATTAGTAATTACTGGAATATTGGAATACTACCAATACTGTCTCTTTTTCTGTTTTTGTTGCTGGACGGAAAACCCAAGTCTCGATCCATCTCGATCCCTTGCAACCTCCAAAGTCTTCTCTGGATGGTTCTCTCTGGATGTACTTGGAGTGGATTTGAGTGGATTATAACGTGACTGTCTCAACCAATTGACTAGCCATGACTAGCCCGATCCACTAACATTGGAATATTTGGATCCACTTACCATATATCCAGATATTAACTATGATATCCTTATATATGGTGAATTTCTTTGCCAACCCCGACCACTTCGGTTGCTAACCCGCCAGGTGGAGTGGCAGACAGGTTTGCGCTTGCCGGTGGCCCGATACTTGGCCATCCAAACGGCACGTTGGCATTGGACCCCACTGCATGAAGCTGTACCTGGGCAGCGCGGTGCAGTTTTCTAATGGAAGTCTGATATTGGACAGCTGGGACATTAGAACATATTGGAATTATTAGAAACACAAGGTCCAAAGATGTCCAAAACAGAAATATGATGAAATTATGCTTTTATAAATTTCATACTTCCCAGATTCCGGCGATGCTTTCACAGTTTCCTTTTGCAGCTGCACATGAGTTTTTGTTTTTTTTTGCTTTGGAAAGCTGTCCATTCCTTTGCATTGTCCTATAATTAGCTGTGTTGGTTTTCGTGTAACAATGCCCTGTGGAAATCAACATGGTCAGCATGCCACCACAACCTGAATGAGTCAATGAGGCACTGGTGGTGCAACAACTGCCACATCGACCCTTCTTCCTTCCTCTCTTGAAACGCTTTCAAGAGCTGAATGGCCTGAAGTTGCAGATGGTCGGTCTGGAGGCGCACACGAATCTGGCTTGGCAAAATAGGTTAGTTGATATGATTTGATATTCAAGTACTGTTTGTTTTCTTTAGCAGATATCTCACATCAATTGCAACTGCAAGCCGTGAATATGCTTGAACCTCTCTCACGCGTTTGGAAACACACTATTTTCTTCATGTTTGGGCCTGCTTGTCTGAAGTTTGACCCATCCAGGGCAAGATTCATTTGATGCTTGCGGTAGCGCTTGTGGAGTTCTTTCAGAAGAAGAGTGAAACCAAATTGCACCATTTTGTGAAAAAATCGTCATTCCAGTTCCAACATGCACATTTTTGATGGCCAAACTCTCTGGCTGAGGAGGTCCCAGCATGGAAAGATCATCGCCCGGATCGGTACAAGAGACTTGCCGAGCATCGTGCCGCGGTGATTTTTCCCTATGATGCTACTCAGTTGCAAACCAGATGTGGCCATGGCCAAGACAAGATCACTCAGCCCCTGCCCCAGGCTTTTCTATTTGGATTGATTTTGGTGCCTATGATTGCCAGAATCACAACAAGTTTTGAGATTTTGCGGTTGCACGTTGGAACAAACTTTCCACTTCAATGGCTTCTCGAAGATGCCACTCGACGTCTTGTTGTCCCTTGCGCAGTTACTCACATTGAGTTATCATAACCAGCTTCCAATATTTGAAAGAGATCCGGATGATCCGGTTGCTTTTCTCACTATGGAATCGATGTGTGACATTGTAATTATCAGTAATTATCAATAATTATCAGATGTGTATCAGGTGCACTTCATGAAGCTCCTGGAGCTTTATAGCATGGGTGTGCCCATCTTTATGCCAGCGCCTGGGTTTGAAGTGGACTTGGAGGAAGCCTCGGTGAACTTGGGCATGTTTTGAGGTTTGGGAAATCATGGGAAATCAAAAAAGGTAGAAAAATACCCTTGGTCCCTTGGTTTTGTTTTTCTTAAAACCAACTCTGCCCAAGTCACAGAGTCGCACAGGCATGTTCGATTCGATTTCTTGCGGGATGCATAGCAGGATGAACAGACCATTTTCGTTCACAATGGGTAGTCCTGTGCGGTTGCCGACAGTCTGATACACTATTCATCCATGCGCTTTTGCTTCAGATGAGCCGGATCATTTTCGTTGCTTCCTTGGATTTTTTTCTTGGGTCAAAGTTACTGACCCCGAGAATGGGATGAATGAATGTGTTTTATGATGTTTATGTGTTTCATGTGTTTTTATGATCAATACTTGGCTTTGATATGGTTTGATACACAAAACTCGCTGGCCATGTGTGTTTCTTACCAAGCAAACAAGACATCTCCAGCCAAGGTAGATTTCTTCATGTGGTCCTTCAGCTGGACCATCGCGGACCCGGGGGTCATGGAGTCCTCCCTATCCCCCAGTGATGCAGCAGCACCGTGCTGTGCCACGCCGGGACTACGACACCTACATCCTAAGAGGCGGGGATAATCAGCACGGTGAAGCTGGGATCGTTGACATCACGAATGTTACAACCCCTGGGTTGATGATGACCATTCTGGAACTGATACCGACTGAACCACAATATCTGAAGAAAACTGTGAGCAGAAGTGACAAAATCCTTGGGTGTTTCCAGGGATGGAATGGATGTCCAGTTGATGGGGATTGTATTGTAATGACTATGAGAAGAGGGCAACTGTGACCATGTCCATTGACCATCCCAAGTAATATGGTCAGTAGGTTATGTACAAATTTGGCTATATACGTTGATTCCAAACTGGCGCCTGATTTCATCCATTGGTACCCTGAAGTACCCTGAAACAAAAAGTGTTATTGGTACCCCTTAAACAAAAACCGTTGGCAGTAGCATCCTTTTTGAGATTTTTTGAGCCATACCCAGTTGCCTGAAATGTCATTTTATTTTTTTACAATGGTTATCATTCTGTCATTTATGTCGAAGATTTGTGGCCATTCTGCAGTCACCAGGTGTTTGCAGCTGGCTCCCTACTCGGACCTTGCGCGACTTCCACACATGGTCTATTTCAGGATTCAACTTGTTCTGAACGTATGAAGCTTTTTGCTCTTCAGATGTTGAGTGCCTACCTACAGGACTCATTTCTATCTCTACGATTTCTCTACATATGGTCTATTGGCACATATTTGTAGCCTGAGCTCAAGATATTTCAATGTATTGCAGTCCACCCTTCAACACTGATGATACTGATGGCTCGCTGGTTATTCCCAGGAGCATCCCGGAGTTGCTTTATCTACTGGCTACGGACACATCTGCTCACAGCCGCAGTTGGGCAATGAAGGAGTTCCAGGTGTGAGTTATGGGGATGGAACAGGTTTAAACACCAAGTTGCGCGGAACAAGCCCTGTCTTTGATGAGATCAGAAGCAATTCTGTTGCAGGAGGGAAGTTTCAACATTGCAGCGGATAGAATTGAGATGTCAGGGACTAGGACATTGTGTACGATTTGCAAGCGCAATTTGTTGTTATATTTCAGCTTCTTTTATTTTGCAATATTTTGCCCATGTAGACACTTGGATTTGACATGATTTGACCACTTCCAGGATGAGAAACAACATATACACAGTTTGTTGGCCTTCATATTCTCTTTCACAGACGTGTGTAAACCTTTGCACCACGGAGGCCAAGTCGACAAGTGAGGTTCTCTCTTTCTGGAACCATGCTCTAACGAAGCTGTTATACAGAAAGCGAGAAAGGGCAAGGAAAACAATTCCGTAGCATCGAGCATGGATCATCATGGATCAGTGGACATGAAGCCGTTACAGAATCTAGACCTACAGGCCTACAGGGTTTTTAGTTTAGTTGATGTCTAGCCAAGCATCTGAAGTGGCATTGTGGCTTGCTTCAACGCATGGTGATGGGAACCGCTGCTTGGAGGCTGTAGTGCGGGAGGGCGGTCTTTAATTTCACACCTTTTGATTGCAATAGCAGACTTTTCAAGCCGGATACTCATATGGATGAAAGCCACCCATTTCTATTTTGATCCGAATCTACATCATAATGAATGAGAACGGCATATGCTGTGTTGGGCATTGGCAGCTACAAATTATGCAGCTCTGAAATGCGTTAAGACCGATAAAGGTCATCGTCACCGGGCAACAGGGGATCGGACAAAACACCGCAGCTTTGGCTGAGCCAGCATAGCTTGAGCACATCCAACGCAATAAGAGCATATTGATACGTGATTTACATGTATTTATGATATTTCAATGATCACAATGATCATTAATTTTGGATATCTTAGGTCGAAACTTGTCTTATAGGATTGAAAACATAATGAAGGGCAGAATGCCAGTCTCTTACATGTATTTTAAATCAGCAGATACTGTAGGATTGAAAAGACGTCTACCTTTCCCAGCAGTTTCTGGAATGTCGGGAAGTTTGAACTCAGTTTTAGCATGACAACATGGCACTGAAGTACACTTAATATGCGGAAACTCGTTCCAAAAATAGACTGCGATTTCGTGCGGTTTCGACAAAACGTCTTTGGTTTTCACAAAGCTGTTAATTACTTGCATTGTATATACTTGGCTTTGGAGGTAGAAGTCTGTTCGACGGACATCTGAAGTAGATGTCATGCAGTTTGTGCAGACTGTAGCTCCTTCTCAAGCGCTCCACGCACGAACAGGAATCAAAGCCTTGCGCATTTTGATTACAGATGAGTACAGTATGTAAATTTCAGTCCCAGATGATCTACCTCCTGTAGTTCTTGTATTTGTTCAACACCTACAATTGCAGCAATTCATCAGAGGTTGTGATTCTTCCTTGTGAATTTTTGCATTGACTTGAGGTAACATGAGGTAACTTGAAATGTTCGGGGCGTGTGTTTGCACATGCCCCGCCGGGACTGGATCGCAGGACTCGAACATGGTTGGAGAGCTGCACCCTTCCATAGAGAAGGCACCTGCCTCTCCCCCATCAGGATCCCCATCAAAATCCATAGAGAATGGCACCCATGGGTTGGTTCTGCCACCCCATTGTTAGTTGCCATTTAAATGCCACCCCATGGCCCATGGCCCCATGTATTGTGGCTTGGCCTCCTGATTTGCAGGTCGAAAGACTCTCAGCTCACGCAACTTGTTAGCTGCTTATCTTGTGGCCAGGCCTGGGCTTGGGGTTCAGAAATGATCACACCGAAGATGGATCAAAGGTGACACAAAACCCTTGCAGCTCAGCTTGCAAGAATACCCTGGCAGTTTCTGGAGATTTTGTTTTTTGACTAGTTGAAGCTATCTCCGGTTCTGGAGACAGACATTTGAACTTCCATGGTTCTGGCGGTACAGCAGCTGGAGCGAGGAAGGGGTCAGCACGGATCAATGAAACAAACATCCATCAATTCCAGCACTGGTGCTGCTCACGTGTGAGCAATTCCTACAACTTCCAAAGTTCGCTACGGCCTGCCAAAAACTTGTCACCACCGTCTGAATTCTGACATCTCCCTCAAGCTTCGCAGGGCTGCTTGCCGCACAGACTTTGGGCACAGAGTTCGCCGGTCTTCGAGCGGTTCTACCACCATTGCAGAGGCACCGGCTTTTCTTTTTGGGTACCCTGTGAAATCATTGAAACTTGATTTGGCCTGCTACTGTGCCGTGTGCTGAAACTACACAACATGTGCATTTGACTTTGATGAACCACGTTTTATGGTGCGGAATCACTTCTGGAACAACATTCGTTTAATCACGCCAAGCAGTTGGCAAAATCTCTGACAGGAACCGCTCTTCCGCTTTGGTTTGATTGCTGATGTGCAGCTGGGTCCTCATTCGGGGCCAGGTCTCAGAGTCTGAGACAGTGCCACTATTCCGGACTGTCACACCCATATCAAACTGGGATGACCCTGTATTTGTCGCAAGGGATTATACCTAAGGATTCCTAAGTGGGGGTCCGTGTCCATGAGCCACTTTAGCTGATATTGATATTTATTGTCAGTGATTGATCAGTGGCTCACACATACATTTCTCATGGATTCCAGGCACTTCATGCAGATTAGCCAGACTTTATGGATTCCAGCTGTTGCTCCCTATGGATAGGACCCTAAGGTTGTAATGAGTTGAAGTATCCATCATTTTCCGTTTTGGAGTTGCATGTTGACAGGCATTCTTTTTGGACGATCATTTGCTGCAGTAGAGGCTGCACCAAAGTTCAGCCATTAGTGTGCCAAATCTCTCCATAGCCAGATGGCTAGGTATGCCAACCGAGACGATGCCTTGAATTTTTCGGGCTCACGGCTGAGGCGCTGCGCTTCATGTTATGGCGCAACCTTACATGCTGGAATTCTTTGTGAGAAGGGAGTAATGCAAACAGTATATTATATTTTTGTCATATAATTAATTATTATATATAAATGATATGATATGATATGATATGATATAATATAAGATAATATACTATGATATAATATATGCCATATATATATATGCACGCCTGGAAACGAAATACATTGCTCTAAGCTTGGCAGCAGTTGTTTGGGACAATGCATCTTGGACGATCGATGCTTGCTACAGGCAATACATGGCGATGCACCACCCTTGTTTGCATCAGATTAACACTGTGTTTCTTCAGGCGATATCGAAATTCCCGAACTCTTTGGGATCGAGCCGTGAAGTCGGGACCCTCAAGGTTTGGAATTTGGATGAATTTGGACACTCGCTGTCTCCAAAGATCTCACAGCACAACACATATGTAGTAAGATGATGAGTTTTCAGAGATGCTTACAAATCTTGACCCTTTGATTCCTTCACGCAAATGAGCTGCAGGGTTCATAGGTCATGGTGGATCAGAGCCTGTACATATCGTGTGGAAAGGTGTTTGCTCAGGCTCTTTCATCCCGACTCCACACTGATTGCCATGATTGAGATATCAGCACAAGTCTCATTTATCATTTACATTCATTTACCATTTGGACAGAAAATCTAGGGAGCAAATACCATCAAGCACCGCTTTGATATGGCCGACAGAATCGGCACAGTGCTCACTACAGGTGGTTCTGCGACGAGAAGGCTGGCAGCTGATGCAAAGAGGAACTGCTGAACTGGTGAACCAATCTTATTTTTTATGTTATTTTGTTTGAACTGATGATGGTTGATGTTATGTGGATTCTTATCCAGATATGCCTGTCCTGCATGTGCTAGGCAACGGGAGTATTCGCAGTTCATAGATCGGAAGTGCAAGGTGGATTTGACTATCAACCCAAATGAAAAGGTTGACAGAGGCCTTGAAATGCTGCAAACTGATGCAAATTGGACAATTGGTGCGTGTCGCCTACTCACATAACAATGCAAATTGAGATGATCTGTATACAACTCGGCATGTAGAGCATTTCCAGCTTTGATATGCTGAACTTGTGGCTCTGCTGAACTTGTGGCTCAAAGCCCAAAACTACAAGGTAGAGATTTCAGTGTTGATGGAGGGAGTTACAGATCAGAGTGTTCCGGAGTTAAGGGCAACGGCAGTGGCAGATGTTTCGGTGACTGGAGCAGCGGCACCTTGACGCAATGATTTTTTTCAAGCTGCGTTGCAGATTTGCTTTGAAAGTTTGAGAACAGTTTCACCACATGAAATTATATTATGTTTGTACATACTATTAATTTTGAAAGTTTGTACATTGAAATACGGCAAAAGTCTGAGAGAGTTTCCGAGGTTGTCGCAGTGGCGGCCGCAGAAGGATTGGTCGCCTCGGTGGTGGACCCCAAAGCAGCACAAGTGGCCACAGGAGGAAATCAAACTGTAACAAACCAGCCATGGGATGCTCATCTGGAAGAGCCTTGCCTGCAACTCTACAGTCAGGATGTGATAATATAATATATATATATGATATATGTCATGGTTATTCACCAAGAACGAAGAGACATGAATATAACCACCTGTGATGGTTTATCAGAACTGAGATCCTATAGAGTATTACAGTTATTACAGGGTTGTTACAGGGTTAGAACAGGTATTATAAAGAACATTAAAGAACTCTCAAATCTCTCAAACCATCCATCTCAAACCATCGAATCCCATCGACTATGCCAGGATCCGCGGCTGCAGACGGGCTACAGCTTCGTGCCAGAGATGAGTTCGGAGGAGCGGCGTTCGGCGTTGAACCTTTGTGGCCCCCACGTCACCGAGTTCATGGTGCCTGGGTGGAACCTGGAGAAAAGGGAGATCCGAAGGGATCCGAAAAAGGACCTGGGACCTGGGGCACTCCAAGCGACTCCAGGGTTACTTTGGAAAGAGTGGTCTTGGCATATCTTGGCTGATGATCAAACTTGTTTTTTTGTGGCTGAAGCAGCCTTTTTGATGTTTTTAGTAGTATTTTTGGATCATCTACACCTTGCACAGCCATAAAGTTTGCATCGAGTTAAAGTTTGCATCGAGTGGTTTCGATTTTTTTGATCCCAAAGTTCTGGAGAAGAATATGTCTGGAATCTTGTAGTATGTGTGATCCATCAAAGCATGTTGGCTCGTTTGGTAATGAAACTGCAGATTTGCAGAAACGAAGAAGGGCAATTTTTTTTAGTCATAGATTTTGGACATTCTTGGACTCGAAACTCCTTTGTGATCAGTCTGTAATCGCTTCTGTTAGCTGTTCCTGAAAGATGTCATCACTGATTTGCTGAAATTTGCTGAGGAAAAATGTGAATTCATCAGTCTTGGATGCTACTGCGCTCCGTCCTATGCAATGCAGCTTCTGAATGTGCGAAAGCCACTTGATCTTGCGGAGCTGTCCAGTTTTCTGTGGATGTCAGCGATCCCTTCTTAAATTGTTTACCTTTTGACAAAGGTCAGCAACAGCGGCCTGAATTGTCCAGGATGATGTAACAAATACCATCTGGTTATTTAACATAGCCATGGAAAATCACCAGTTTTAGTAGGTAAACCTCTATAAATGGGTTATTTCCCATGGCTATGTTAAATAGCCAGGTCATGCCATTCATATTTCTGCTTTAAAGATGCTGGAGATGTCAACATTGGACACGCACCGTCTGGAAACGTGGACTGCTTCAATTTGAGTTGTCCTTCGACTGGGCACGAAGTGGATATCCTTTTCTATCTTTTCTTCATTGGCATTCGAAATCACCTTTTTCATCTTTTTCGTTCCATGCTGGTGGCGACTAGTTTGAAGATGTTTGAATGTCTTGAGGAACTCATATCCATTCGATTGGACACGAAGTTCGCTCGAGGGCATTTTGCACTGCATGGAGAACAGGTTTGAGGCCGGCTGTCAGTGAATCTGATGTGCAGTCAAGCCCTGGCTGTTACATGCCCCATCATGCCCCAATCACCTGCCATGCTTATTTTCTGTTGGGTTAAGCCTCCTGCAACGCCTGGAATGACTTGACGTTTGATCAGTGTGGAGTGTTTACTGATGCAGCAAACTCAGTCAACAATGCTGAAATGCATTGAGTAGAATGATCTACAGAAGTAGAGAGCACCTCAAGAATTTGTTCGCCAACGGTTCAGTACTTCCAATATTTGGTCATTCCAAGCCAGATGACCTGAATATGTTTCACCAGTGATAGGCGCTGTATCGTTTCGATTGCTCCACCCCGGGTCCACACAATGTCAACAGCGCTTCAAAAAGCACGTGCTTGGTATTACCCCACAACATGTGAGTGACAGCGTTAATTTGGTTAAATGGAGACTATTGGGGCGTACCCCGTTTTTAGTACATCATACTTAGGTCGTACAAAGAGGTAGGAACACTCCGAGAACGAGGTAGGTATCGCATCAACCTTGGCGGGGAATTCCAGTAGGCATAGCGGCTACAGTATCTGAGACACGTGCATATAAGACATTCCACTTTGAACTATGAAACATGCTCACCCATGCCTGCCAAACACAAAGCATGCAACATACATACATATTATATATATATATAAATATTATATGATACTTTATCGATGTTTATAGAGTCTAATTTGAGTCCTGCGCCTGTCTTCGCTCACACATCGCATCAATGCTATTCATCTGCCCAGTCACATCTATCCGTCACATCCCATCCACCAATCTGATCGAAGCCCACTCATCCATCTCCATATCCATCCTCTATAGGTGCAAGCATAAATATCCATCATAGTATCCATCATATCCATCCAGCTCCCATGTCCATCCATTTCTGTACATCTCCAGTCTCCATTCAATTCCATCCATATCTCATATCATCCAGATTCATCCAGCAATTCTTCATCATTCTTCATCCATATCCACCAGGATTTCCTCACCTATTCGACCTACAACATGGTGGACCAGCACGTAGTCTTTGGTGGCACGCGTTGGGGTGGATCCTTTTGGCATCATAACCTGGAAGCGCCGATGACCGTTGAGGACATGACAAGGTGCAACTGAAAACCGTTGACACTGTCATTTGTGGTTCTTGATCATTAGGTCCGGATCATTATTATGTATGTATAATGTATAATATGATATAATATGATATGATATATTATATATAATATACCTATATATATATATGTATACGCATATTGTACCATGTTTTTTATTTCAGTTGTTATCATCTATGAATCATGGTTGATCATTCTCAAGATCTCCCTGAGGCGCATCCATCGCTTCTTGGGCACCGGGGACGTGTCGCCCAAGGTGCCACGTGTCTTCGTTCGGATCGTCAACTCCACGCGGGAGATCAGTGACCCGACGGAACACATGGAAGGGTGAACCAGCACCAGCATCAACCAGCCAGCCACCAGCCACCACGGTTGGAACATTGAAAAACCGTATGTTAAGTAATCCTTAACTTTAAGATGCTTTAAGATCAATGATTAATGTACAATATAGGAAGTACATGGAAGTACTCGTATGTTTTTGCTCGTCGTTTTCTATTTTTCTTTGTTGCATGCTTGGTAACCTAACTATTTCTTAGAGGCCAAACATGTCTCCGCGGAAATGAATATCAACCTCCAAAGGCAGCGCCAGCAGAATCCATTGTTAGATTATGCTAGTTTTTGAAAAGTGGAAATCATGCCTCTCAACTGCCACGTCCATCATCTTTCATCACTTATATTTGGCAGTTGAAACATGTTGAAACGATAGCTGACCTTCCTCCAGATGGGACGAGGCCAAGCTCTTCGCCTTCGTGATTCCCTGAAGCAGCACTTCCCGGAAGCTCAGGATGGGTCGATTGATGAAAGGAAAATCAGCAAAGCCTGGGAAAGCCTGCTGACTTTGCTGCAAGTTCTCAGGGTTTCCCCAGGGTTTCCTGCAGATTTTCCCAACCAATCCTCTGATGAGACTGAGATGTGCCGTGATCAGGTGTCGGTGTCTATTTCTGATCTAAATGTTCCTTAAGGCATCCTTAAGCTATAGCAAAAGGTACCAAGGCGACAGGACTTCGGTCTCATTTCGATCCAGGAAATCTACTTGCTGCTATTGGTGGAGCTGCAGATGGAGCGCGGCCCAATTGCCGTGCTGCTTGTCGCATGGGAAAACCAGTACATATCAGTACATATGGCATCAAAATGTGTCAAGACAATATGGCCAGCCGTTGATTCCCAGACTTGTGGCGAAATCAGGCATATTGTTTATTGGCAACGTCTGATTTGCACAACGCGCCATTAGAATCCATTTGGCACATGATCAAGGGATGGTCTTTAAATAACACACTTTCGCACCGTTGCTATAATACTATATAGTACTAGTCCACACTCGTGGGCATTGAATAGTTTGGCAATCGAAAGTGTTGCAGCAGTAAAGAACAGAGCATTGCGATAGTTTGAGGTTGTGGTTTGTAGCAAGCGTGCTCATTTTCATTTATATAAATTATATCTTCCGGCAACTGATTTAATTACTTAATTTCACAGACTGCATCATGTTTGCCTTTTTTTTGGCCGAGGACTGCTCCAGAAGGCTGGGAAAGGTTCTAAGATAGACATGACTTTGGCCGTGAGACTTGGTTCCATGCAGCCTCAAACTGTTGGCTGCTGATTGGGCTTCTGATGTGTAGCCATGCTTGTTTGGACAGAAGCAAGGGCCACAAGGCAGGCTCAGATTATTTTGATGATTTTTGATGATGGCAACCAGGGTACCCATGAATTTTCTATCAACTTTCCAGCTGCACTGGCAGGTCAAGGCATCTTCTTCTTCTGTAGCGCGGCTGCGGTAGCATGATGGACTCCTCTGATGGACACTGTTTTAGCCTGTTGTACCATTCAATTTCAATCGACACTTCCAGCGTCTTAGATTCCAAGCAATATTTGTTGGGGTGAGATTTTCAATGATCATCTAGCATATTATGCAGCATATTACTTTAAGTTTGTTTGAGCAATCTTTATCTTTGAGACGTACAAGAGACTGGCTTAACTACGGATGTCTCAGCTGCTTGAGGAGATTTGTGGCAGTTTCTCTTTCAATGGGCCTGTTGGTGTTGGGTGGCTTCTGGATGCTGGGGATTGAGGTTTTACAGAGGAGGAATTTCGACAACAACCAGCACCCAACCGGCATCCACTTTCAGTCAGCGGTGCCAGATGTGCAGAGGCACTGGTCGGGGGCCCAGTTTGGAATCTTACATGGCTCAGGTCCCTGTGATGCCATTTGATGGTTGCAATCACCGCAGGAACCGGTTGACACGAAACCATCCACAGATTGAAACACTATAGTAACTATAGGCTTTCCTTGGTTTTCTATGGTTTTCTCATCCCCAAAAAACGGATGGCTCTGAGGCCACAGCCGTGAAGTGGTGGGCTGGTGAAGGTCTCGAAGGACAACAGGTTCGTAGCGTTGCAGCTTGGCCCGTGCCAGGGTGATCTCAGGCCGTGTGAATTTATGGAATGAACGGTTTTGGAAAAGCTTAACTTATCTCTTAGCATCTAGAAACTCTAGTATACTTTGATGATCTTTGATGTATGTTGACTATGTAGTTTGATATTCTATGGGTCGGGTAGAGTCCAGCTAGTGGTTGTGCAAGACAAGCAATACCAGAGCTTGGAAGGACGATGTTCAAAGCTATCATGTTGAACGTTCCATTTTTTGAAAGTTATGTGATGTTCTATGTTTCCTCTCATGCCTTAGCTTTGTCTTCAGCGGCTTGCTATGGCTGAGGATTCACTCGCAGAGCCACGTGGTTCGAATTTGTGAGGGCTGGGACTGTTGCGGAGTCTCTAGTGCGTCAATAGAGTATATGTGGGAAGACATTGCACGACAATTCTTCAAGGACACAGGAAGTGGCTGAAGCTTGACCCAAACATGTTATTTGTTGATCGGCAAACGAGGCAACTTGGACCTGTTTTATGTTCCATGAACCGCAGTGCCCAGGCTTTCGAAATGCATCTACCAGTTCGATGGCGGTGACCCTGCAAGAGAGCTGTTTGTACCGCGCCGTTTCTGGGGACAGCAACTGATTCCTGGCTGTGCATGGAAACGAGCAAGAATGAGGCGTTGCCTGTGTCAAACAGCCAATGATTTCATATCAGCCTCATATGATCTCATATGCCTTGCGTGATCTTGCATGCTTTCCACACTTGCAATCTTCATCGATCTTATCCTTTTGCCCATGTTCTTGACTGTGAGTCAAAAGTTGTTCAGCATCCTGGCTGATCAGCAAATTGGATAGCCTCCTCTCACCGCAGCGACTCCCACAGATTAAAACAGATTATATATATAATTATGATATAGTATAATATGATATAATATAATATAATTAGAATATAATATGATATAATATAATATAATTTAATTATAACTATAATTATAATTATAATAAATATAATATAGTATAATACAATATAATATAATATGATATAATATGATATAATATAATATGATATAATATGATATAATATAATATGATATTATGATATAATATGATATGATATAATATAATATGATATAATATGATATTATTGTATTAGAATGTTTCGGGTGCTTTTTAACTATTTTTAATGAATTTTGGTCGATTTGAGCATTCAGCATTTCTCATCATCAACCCGTGGGTTCTGCAAGCCCTAGAAGGAACACCTTCGGCGGTGCCATGATGGAGCGGCTCCTGTCGCTGACCCAGCAGCAGGCATTCGTACTGCCAATCGGAGTGGATGTCTCCTGGCATGGAACTGCCATGCTTTCATCCTGGGATGTGAGAAAAAGGTTCCATATCAGTTGCGGGAAATTTCGGAGGATTTCTGTTTCCGATGTTTGGCGGCTCATCGATTTTTGCAGGCGAGTATTGGACTCTATCTAAACAAGTACTTGTACTCCTGCACTGAAGATGATCTGAATCTGTAAGTCTATATGAATATACAAATGAATAATCAAAACATCATCATGATTTGTACGTCTCAGGCGATGGTGATGGTCTCTAGCATTTCTTGGCTTGTTTCGATAACCCGCTATTTTTTTCTGAGGCTTCCAAACCATTCCCAGTGCAATGCTTTGGACGCTATCTTCAGGCTGGTGTTGTGGGTCCTGGTCGGAGATGGCCGTCCCAAGCCGCTAATTCTTGTTTCATTTTCCACGTTCCATCATTGCTTGCTGGCAGAGGTACAATTGCCGCCCTTTGCTCAGCAGGGTTTGGTGGTTCAGCTCTTTCTGAACAGCGGACAGCTAAGTGGCTCGGTGGTGACTCAGTGATGGCATGCCAAGTCGAGAAACTTTGGAAACAGCAAGTCAAAGACAGGTTATGAACTGTTTGGCTTTGGTCGATTTAGTGGCTCAAACCTGGTTTCGGAACCCACAGGTCAAAACGGTCAAAACAATTCAAAACATATAATTTGTAGATGAAATAAGTGGACGCGTATACAGGTAGCAAAATGTAGTGCTTGACAGAGTACGTTTAGTTTTTCAATGTTTCAATGGTTTATATAGAAATGTTTAGAATTCTGTAAGACGTGAGTATCTAGGTAGCTACATTCACATGGATGTTTTTTCCCGTTCATCCATGCGTCTCACCTTGCACACAAAAGGTGGTGTGATCTCTTCCCTGTACGAGGGTCAGCTGGTGACGCTGGCACAGGTTCAGGTTGAGGAGACCCAGCAGTTGGCTGAAAGGGAGCATCGGTGAAACATTGTCAAATACTGATTCAGATTGTCCATTGTTGGGCTACACTGCTCGAAAGGTGGCAATATGATGCAATATGTGGCAATCTCCAAAAGGACTTTGCTTTGTAGGTGTCTCCCCATCTTTAAGTTTACACGAAATCAAATCACCATGAACCAGCAGTGGGCACGATGTTGAGGTTTGCATCCATTGGGTCGGTGTTCTTTTCCGCGGTGTTCCCATGTTCAGGATCAAGACCAATCGACAAAGATGGAGACATGAGAATGTCTCCGGGTCCAACTGTTTCCTGCAGAGGGGCTGGGGAAACAAGGAATCGGTTGTCAGGTGCCGCACACTTTGGAGCACATGTGAACCTTCAGAGGTTCTGTGGGTGTCATAGAGCTACCGGCCCTACCCTTCTATAGTTCAATGATCTTGAATGTCAATACTGAATTTGCAATCCTGGCCTTGCTGGATGTACATTCAAAAACATTCAAATAAAATATCTTGCTTTCAATTGCTTGTTTGAGGTGGAGCTTTTGAGCACCACAAATCCTGACATGATAACTCTTTTGGTTCAGACTTTAGAAGTTCAGACTGAGGATTTTTGGAAGTACTTCATATATGTTAGCCAAAGTTCAAGAATTGAGCATGAAATCATATGAAATCAATTCTCATACATGGAACTAATCGATCAAACTTGGTGAATCACTCTGCAGTCAAGGTTTTGATGGTTGGCCCGTACAAAGATTTGTGGGAGCAACTGGTACCCAGTTGATGCCAACTGTCATCTCCGGATTTTCATCTGTAGCCCTCCAATTGCTTCATTTCTGCCACCCGTTGCCAGTGTGCCTTCGTTTTTTCATGGGCGAAACGAGCAAAACCTGAAGCCGGAAGTCAGAAGGATTGCGGTTTCAAGTGTCGTTGAGTCATTGAGCATGGTTTTCTGGCCACTGGCAGCTGCTGGTTGCTTTCCCGCACACCCGCTACCAAAAACTGGTTTACCTCGAGATGTAGAGGTCGGAGGTGCATAATTCGCTGATGTATTCATGTTGGGAAAAGGAATTTGCAGAATGAAACACAACACATTTGAAATCCTCGAGTGTTTTGGTTGCCCAGTCGGGAGGTTAGGACAGCTACATAACGACAGTATCTTCATCATGATTCATTTGTCTTTGTTCAGTTTGCTTCTCCCTCGTGCATGCCATCAGCGGCTCAGCGATGAGCCTTGGATTGGACTTGTCCAGGACTGAAGAAGTTGGAGCTGAAGATATGAGCAGTTGACACCCGGATGAGCATATGCATTGGGACACTTCTTGATTAATTCCATGGATTTAAAGGATCGGATAACATAATTCATAATTAATAATGTATCGATATGTTTCTCGATCTTTTATCTTACTCAGAATGAATCACACAAACCTGTGGGTGGAATCTGGTCCATGCAAATGAGCCAAGAAAAAAACACGTTGCCCACGCCTTTGACACATGGAAGGTCGAGTCCGAATCCTCTAGGTGATTCGCAGCGATGAGGATTGCTTCAAGTCTGTGTCGGTGTTGGCACAGTTGACGATCCTAAAGCACAGGGACTGAGTGCATGGCAACAACGGTATAAGGATGTATATATATAAGGTATAAATATGGTATAAGTATGGTATAAATATGGTATAATTATCATGGTCTCCAAGTCAACAAAAAGCATTTCCAAAGTATCTCCGCATAGCTCCGCTATGCTATCAGTCCACCCTCCTCGATGGACGATGTCGACCTCGGCACCACCCTTCGCGTGACCATCGCATCGCCGTCTGCGGTGTGCCGTCCATCGTGGCACATGTCCCCAAAAACTGGGCCTTGTTTTCCGTGTTCATTTCGTCAAAAACTCAAGTCTTTTGGTGGAAAGTTATCAGATGTCATCAGAATTCCAACAATTCCAACCATTTGACCTCGTGGCGTTCACAATGCTTATGTGTTTATTGAAGGTATCTAGAATTTATGGTGAATGGGTACGTTTCAATAAAATCTATGAATGAGTGCTTTACGTGGAACCTGGCAAACATGTATTTCTTGATGTTTCCCGTCTAGTCTCGCAGAACATAGTCACAAGGGTTCTGTTTGCAATCAGCCATGCATGTGCTTGTGGTTGCCTTGGCTAGGAAAGGGGCAAGTTATGAAAATGGTGCACGGTCTCTTTGCTCCCTTCTCTTTAAAAGCGCCGTTTCATGCTGTTTCTTCTTTGTACTCCGAGCCCAGAGTGCGAGGGTTGCCCTAGGTCCTTGTATAGATCATCGTGGCATCGTGACTGAATTTTCCTCATCTGATTCTTCAGTGGTTTCAGATGATGATTGCGTGTGATTCATCATTTTGAAGGCGAGAAAATGATTGCATGCAAATGATGCACTGATTATGGTTCACTACTGCATTATATTAATGTAAACTACTGTCAATTACTGATTGCTGTAGACATGATGAGGAGGTGAAAACGGCCTGGCGCCCTACAGCGCCAGATCCCGGCGTATGGAGTTTGTACAGGGCCGGGGGCATGCACCGAAGACCGGAGAGTCCCAATGATCAAAAAGGTTCCGGGGTTCCAATGGTTCCAGGACTTGGTGGCCGATGGGGAAATTTTCAAAAAGTTCATTGAAGGATGTCAGAAGATTCATAAAGATGGCATGGGTTGGTGAGATTCACATCCAGCCGGTCATTCAAAAATCCCACAGCACTCCAGGTGGATTTCATCGCACAGCTGGGAGACTTTGTGGATGGATGCAATCAAGATCTCCCCGGAAGCTTGGACGGGAGTTGGATCGGAAATGCAGCTAGTTGATGATTGGAGATGTATTTGTCATCTTCCGACCTGAGGTGATGATCAAAATCAAACTTCACTGATGTTTTTGGATATCTTAGAGATGGGTTGAAACCACCAATCATGCAGCCATGCCAATTGCTAAGGGGAAACTTTGGCTGTAGGGTGAAGGCTGAATCAGCGTCAAAGACTATCCTGGATCAACATCGTGTATAAATGGTCGGGACTGTGGGGACAGTGGGGATGGTCGGCATGAGGGTTTCTTTAGGGCTTCTTTCAGGGTTTATTTTGGGGTTTTGTTAGAGTTTCCTTAAAGTTTTTTGTAGGGTTTCTTTAGGGTTTCTTTACCGTTTCTCTAGGGATCTCTAGGATTTCTTTAAGGTTTCTTCAGGGGTTCTTTAGAGTTTCTTTATAGGGACAGTCGGGACGGTCGGGATGGTCGAGACGGACGGGGTAGCCCGCAAAGTTGCCATCTATACCATCCCGATCCAAACCGTCCCGATCCAACACGCGCTGATGCCCAGCCATCCTTTTCCAAGGAGGTGGAAGAAAAGCTCTGCAGGAGACGCGCTGCCATGTACATTGCTGCATGTGGAGATTTGCGGAAGCTCAACGATGCGATGCCTCTCGAAATGCAGCAAATTTGTGAAGTTGATGTTGTGACTTTTATTTCATGTTCCTTGATGCACTATGATGCAATGACAATTTCATTGATATATTCATGTCATGGCATTCATCAATGTTCATCAAAACTCATCAGCGTGGAGGAACTGCTGGGACCTGTTGACCAGGGCCCACCAGTTTTGCATCTCATTGGTGCCTCGGCTCGGCTGGTGATTGGCTGGTGATTGGTGCATCGAAATATCGCTGCAACGGAAGTCATGGGGCAACATGGGAAACATTGTAAATCAGTCAACATCAGCAAAAATCAACCAGAATAACATGTGGGACAATCCCTACATCACCATCTCTCCCCTTAGTATAGTATGCACAGACTCTGCTCTGCGAGGAAACCATGAGCTGTACAACTTTGCTCGCAAGGCTGCTGGACATTTCCGTGGCATTATCGGTGGGGGACTGCAATTGCACAGGAATCTATTTCATCTTGTGGCCCTTGTTGCTGTACCTTGTTCCCACGCACAAACTAGCATGCAATGTTGCTCCAATATGCTCCAATTGCATCCACTTGTCAATGTCAAAGAGCACCACTCTGCTTCAGTTTGAAGCTTTTGAAGTATGTTGGAGTTTTGTAAGACGCTCCTTCCATTGAAATGGCTGACATGAAGTCCAGGGAACCTCAGTGTGCAAGGAGATGGAAGATGGGATACCTCTTCCTGGTCTGAAGGTTCCTTTCAGGACCGCTTTTTCCCAAGCTATCAACTTTGCTCTAAGATCTATAAGGGTGACGCAAGCTCATCAGGTCCGACTGGGCATGTGAAGTATGCTAGCCTGCAAAGTCTTTGTCCGAGTACTCAAACATACATGAAGGTTAATCAGGTCTTGTGACGCAGCAAACAAGACTACTGCGACTTTGAAATCCTGGTTTGACAAAGCTGAATCTTGAAATTCATACCTCTTGTATCAACCGGGTATTGCAGTAACTGATCATATCGCGCCTTTACCCTACTGGGTAGGCCCAGATAGGCCGCTTCAATTGCTGGTTTCAGGATCATTTCGTATGTCTTTGATTCACGAGAAGGCATGCCCCAGAAAAACTCATAGCAATCCGGATTGCCTGTTTGTGCTTGCAATGCATAGACAGGACATCTGCACCACCTGCACTTGATGCTGAGGTCGGCAAAGTGCTGTTTGGATTGCACAGCCCAGATGTAGGAATCTTTCAACAGGGATTTTTGACGCCAGAACTCTACAGATGCCCAGATGATTTGTCCAGGTTTCCACAGTGGGTTGACTAGCTTGTCATGGTATCATTCGGATTTGGTACTATCGGAGATAGAATTAAAAGACAATGCATCCTCCAGATGCCTCAGGCGCCAAGCAAGACGAGCTCATACTACAGTCAGGGCGTCAGGGCTTTGGGCTTTGGGATGCTTTGGGTGTCGAAGTTGCTGAGATGGCGCAGGTATTTGGTTGGATAGGACGAATGTGCATCTCGTAGCAAACTCTCGTAGCATGTCATATCTGATAAGCGAGATTAAACATGCATGCGGCATGCGGCATGCACCACTGGTTGAAGCGAAGTTTTGACCTTTCTCCATATTATCCCTGGCATCGGCATCGACTGGCCATACTCATAGGAGCTAAGGTTTTTCCCCTGCAGATGGTTGGAGAGTCTGCGTGCCGGTGCCTTAGAGGAGGGTTTGGGTGTCCATGGACTTGACAGCCCAAATCTGGCGTTCTCAGCCTCCGAATCGCTGCACTCAGCCTCTGAAATGTCTCAGAAAGTATAAAATTGTACAGCTCGAATTCAAGCATATTGAAGCACAGGATTTGAAGCTGTCAGGCTGTCTATCTTGAATTTTGAGACATAGACATTGAGTCTCTGGCGTGTGCAGTCTAGATGCTTCATGACGTTTCTCCATGAGGCTGGATCCATACGAGATCAGTTGGGGGCTGCGGTGAGAGACACGATTCGACGATGGCACTGATGGCACCACTCATTCTTTTTGACATTTTTCCACCGTCCTTTCAGTGGCAATCCAAGAGAATCTGTCGTACTTGGACATACTTGGACCATCTTGGACCATCTTGGGAGAAGCTGCACTCGAGGCATCATGAGCCATGGTGGTGGCCGGCCAGGGGTGGATGAGGCAATGGCCTGTTTCTTTGCTGTTTGGGTGTCTCATGGTGCCTCATGGTGCCTCATGGTGCCTTGATTCCATACAACATCAAACCAAACAGAAGTACCAGAAATGTTCAGAATTATTGAGAACTGTCTGAATTCATTTGAATTCTATTTTGTGGATTTGTGGTATTTTGTGTTCTTAAAAAAAAACAGATCCAGAACAAGTCAGTTGAAGTATTCAGATCCAGAACAAGTCAGACAGGGAATTTCATATAGAATTTCATCATATTTCATCCAAACATGGAATAATCTGGAAACATCGGAGCGACCTGGCCGAAGATGCCGAAGTCTTCGAAGTCCGTCTCCTGGGAGGTCACCTTGGAGCCTGGTGCAGTGTCATGGTGCCAGGAGAACAATCCCAATGACATCACCAAGGAGGAGCGGTTGAATGTGGGGCATAAGTCCAATGAGGTGAATCTGTCCTTTGCAGTGCCGATATTTTTTTGTTTTCCATGTCCTTCTTTGTCAAATGGAGACACTGACATGAAGATCATGAAGATCCGGACACTGCTATTGTATCTTTTTTATTCTTTTTCTGAACCACGCAGACCTGGAGAACATTTCGTTCTGGCTGTGGTGTACCGATTGCTTCATTGAAATCAGATAAATCAGGATTTTGCTCGAGGGATTCCTCCTGGAGAGGTCTGGAGCTCGATGGCCAGACAGTGAAAGGAAATTGAAATGGCCATGTAGTGTGGAAGTCTGTTTGCTATGCATGTGAGCAGCGTTCAAGAATGCCCTAAACAAATTTAGCAAGGAGTTAACCTATGATGTCTCCGCGAAAGGAAAATAGCTTGGCGCGAAAGCTCGCGAAAGAGCTTCGCGAAAGAGCCTCAGAAGATATGCGCCGCGAAAGCTGCGCGAAAGCAATTCTATAGGTTAACCAGTTGATCAAGTGTTTTTGAACACTGCTCATGTGACATCTTGAATGAAGAGTGGATGGATGCCGGGTGTGTACATCCGCAGCCGACTTAAGTAATTAGGCAACTTGGGCATGTTGGTTTGATGAGTACTCATATTTGCTTGCTTCCCGCAATTCCGTCAGAAACCATGTCATTTTCGCTAGAGGCTTTGTCTCCCTCAAAGGGATGTATGCTCACGCCTTGTCCAGATTGTTATTTGCTTCTTTTGCTTGGGTTGCTTAGTGTTGGCAGATGCATTCTATGCATTCTGGGCGAGGCGAGACGATGGGTTCCCTTAAACGGAGCCGTAAGCGAACAGCAGCTTATCTGGTTGGAGGACACCAGGAAAGTTGGACTTGGGCAAGTCTAGGAGATCTGTTCAAAGGGGAGGCACAAAAAGCAGTTTGGAAAGGGACGGAGAGCCATTCTAATGTACTTGAGTTGTACTTGTAGGTGCTTCTTGATTCGACTGTCGGTTCAAAAAAGAAGTTGTGGAACATTTGGATCCTGTCCGCCTTGCTACGCAACTTTAGCAGTGGCCTCCCACTGCTCATTGCTCCGCCGCCATCTTCTGCCCTGCCATTTGTGATTTGCTAGTTGCCGTTTGGCTCGTGCCAGAAACTCCGCAGGCACAACACCAAACCTATCCATTTCCATATTACGTCAGGATGATGTTTCTGGGCAGAAGCAATCGAGGTTGCTGTTATAGTGCTCAGGAATTTGCAGTAGGACCGGAAGGGTCTGACAGGGATGCAGCATTCCAACATATTACAGTACCTTTGCGCACATCAGTAGTGGCTTTCAGTGTTTAATCGGCAGTCTTGTTCAGTTCAAGTTCAATTGAATGCACTTTCAGCAGAATGCAGCTGTCAAGCAGTTGATGGCTCTAAGGTTTTTAGAACACAACTAATCTTGCATTTTCAGTACCTGCTTGATAACAAGCAGAAACATCAAGCAGCTTCGTGTCACACAACTTCTTTCAGCGGAGTGATTTTTGACACTGAGGTTTCTGACGCTTGCATTTCTTGGAACACTGACCCAAGGTTGGGGCTGCTGCGCTGAGAGAGCATTTGATGCCACGCTTTTGACTTGGCAGTGGTTCCAGTATTAGTATGTTCCAGTGAGAATTAATTATATACATATATGATTACTGGGTATCAGAAAAGAGGCAGCAAGAACATTCCTAGCGATCTTGGCATGTGCCGCACTTGGAAACACCAGGAACTGCTTGAGCACTTTTTGAAACGAACCAGTCCGTTCGATAATTGTTAGGGAATCTTATCGTTTTGTCCCCATGAAAAAGTGTATTGCGGCGACCATGCCCACAGCCACCAGACAATATCACTTCTTACCACATTGGAGATCCACAGATGACTTTGGCAATCCCCATTTTCATTGACAATGGTGGACATGGAATGTGGCTAGCTCGCAGGAACCTCTCATGTGGGTCTTACAGCGGATGATGCATGCCTTGGAAGTGACACAGGCACCGCTCAGATTGATCTGCCTTGGATCAGCTGCGAAGCGAAAGTCGAAAAGTCTTGAATGACTTGCTGCAGAAACGTCTTCGCTATTGGTTCCCAAGAGTATGATGCACCACTCTCATTTACAAGGATTTATCTCCACTATTGCTTTTCTTTGGCTTCCAGCATTACGATTACAAGCTACGAGCCATTTGTTGCACAAGACATCACAAACCCATCAATTACTGTCTTCGAGTGATCCCCACCCTGAAACACCTTCTGACATAGTTTCTGACATACCATCTGGAAGTATATATATATATGCATACGTATATATATATATAATATATACATATATCAGGAGAACGATAAGAACGTGTTTGGTCGCCCCAATGCTTTTGCTGATCAGAATGCGCTCAGTGTGTATACAGTTGAACACGAACGTCATTAGGGGGCTTGTGAAACGTGCACAACTGCTGAGAAACGTGCACAACATCTCTGACACGTGCACAACATCTCTAAAACGTGCACAACATCTCTGAAACATGCACATATACAATACTTGAAAACACTGGGTAGGGGCGGTGAAACACGTTATACCCATATATACCCATATATAAATATATATATATATATGTGGCGCATTATGCGCATGTATTCTGACATTCTATCTGAGATTCTTTCTGATATACACTCTGACATTCTTTCATGGCTCACATGTTGCAACATCGATGGTTGTTTCATTTGATGCTTGACTGGTGCCTGCAGGTGCCTGCAGCTTGCACGCTTTGCAAGTGGGTTTGCAGAGCAAGAGCCCCCGGGGCGAGAGAGTCATCACCATTGGTGCGGACACCTGGGAACTGTTTTCTGATGGTCGTGTTATTGATGCTATTGGGGACCTTTTGGGAACTGGTGGGTCAACCGGCACCTTTTCAAGTCTCCTTTTTTTGTGGGCTGATGACCACTGGTAGTACTCTACCTTAGAGGAACATTAATGAAGTTTTATTATGATGAGTTGATCCTTGCGGCCGAATACCCAAGGTCTGGATCTTATTTGTGAAACCCAGGGACGCTCCTACAATAGTCAATTCATGTACATTTGCAGTTGCACTTCAACTGTCCAGCAATTTCACAAAAAAAGGCCAAGCCAGAGATGGAATTTTAGTCATTTTGGATCATTGTGGTACGTATTATCTGCAACCAAATAAGTAATCAACAGTGTTATCCAATAAGCTCAAATCACGTCAAACAGTATGTTGATCCAAGTGAAGCACAAATACTTGGGTGTGAAGTGATGTGAATAATTGAAAATAGTGGTGAGTGTATCTAAATCAATAAACTATCAGAATTAGATAGATAAACAAATAAATAAACAAAACAATACACATGTGTATATAGATATATATTTAGTTACATATATACATAATTATATGAATGTTTCTGAGCCTGGCCATGCTGAGGCACAGCTCCACTTGGATCAGCTCCTGTAAAATGGAAATCCAACCCCCCTCTATAAAATAGTCCCCAAGTATATTCTTTTGTGGAATGGTGCCAGCCCAGATCCAAAAAGTGAAACCAAACTTTGAGCCTTGCAAACCCAGTTTTCTATTCTATAGGGGGTCTTTCTCCTAATCACTTGGACTCAGCCTTTCATTCTATAGTGGATAATTTGTCCAACGTGGCGGCCAGTGTGAAGCTGGATTTTCATTTTATAGGAGTGGCAGGGGGCTGTTAACTTGGCAGGGTTTCCATTTTATAGGGAACATCCCCCCTCGTCGACTTGGGTTTTCGATTTAGTCCCTATAGAACTGAACACCCAGGTTTGGTTCGAATTCCAACAGGGATAATATATATATATATACACATATTTTTTACATAATATATACATATATATATATATATGTAATTATATATATATTATATATATATATATATTATATTTGTCTAGTGTTCTAGCATGGGAAACCAATTGAGCCCAGCAGGTCTGGGTAGTGAGACGCAGACACCAGGCAGTTTTGCAGGTGCGCCAGCAGGATGCGTCACGACATTGGACCGAATCATAATGCCATCACCCATAGGATCCATCGTGCTGGTACATATACTAACATAAAGGGGGTATATTGATGGGATCCATGTTACCATATATATATATATAGCAGCACCATGGATCCGTCATGGGTCATGAATCAGAGGGAACACCAATAGGAATCAACCCATTTTGCCGCAGCCACAGGTGAACCTCCTGAGCAAGTGAACCAGGTACTTCAGCGTGCTCAGCGGGTATTGCGCGATCTGCTTCACCCAGTGGCAGGCCGGGAGTTGTGATGCCACCAGGGAAGGGGAATCCCTGGGAATCCTGGGTTTGGATCAACATTTGGAACCGGGTTTGCCCAAGGATGCCCAAAGGGTTTTGGCAATTTGTATGAAAATTGATCGATTTGTATGAGCAATGGGGCAATTCGAATTGACATGATATCATGAATCGAAATTCGTTCGATAGCTTGTGATGTTTTGGGTCGTCCAGGCCTGACACTGCCTGTTGGTTTGGTGCCGCCCAGGACATTTAAATTTCCATCTTGCAACTTCTGCTTTGGAGGTGCACCTGGTGTCCCTGCAACATCCTGCAACGAGATCCTGGTGTCCCAAACGCGGAGTTTCATCTATTGTTGTTACAGTATGTTACAGTGCCATAATTTACAATACGCTATAATACGCTTTTGCGTCTCGGTTCAGAAGTACAATGCCATGAAACGAGGACCATATTTGCATTTCAGACAGGCGAAGTATCTCCTGATATATTCTGAAAGGAACCTGCCAACGCATACTTGTCCTGATAGTTCATATAGTCATAGTCAGTCCTTTTTCACAAGTAACCGCACCATGTCGACACTTTCATGCGCCATCTCCTTCATGGTCCACAGGTGGATCCCATCCTCCAGGAAGCAGCGGAGAAATATCCGCAGCCCAAGGGTGTTGGGATCCTCAATGGCTTGGAAGACCTTAGGACCTTGACGTTTTTTGACACGACTTGAGTAAACATTATAGTTGCAACATGGGCCATTGGCAGGAGATCTTGGAACTTTTCAAAGGTGTTTTCACCACCCACCATTTTGGGATACTGTATATCATTATATATTAAAATATATATAGATATATCCATGTTGATGAGATATTGACAATGGATATTATGGATTGATATCCATGATATATGATATATCCATATCCACATTATCCATGCAATCCATGTGAAGGCGAATGCACAAAAAAACTGTGAAAATGCTGAGATGACTATGGATACCTGGATCAAGACGCTCCAGTGTGGAACTCAAAGATGTGCTGTCTGGATCTGTCCGGTGGGGCACCACAGGTTTCAACCCAAAGGAATGCTGGTGTGGTTTATTTGTTTTTTTGTAATATTTTGTTAATGTTTTATCTCCGGGCTTTTGACAGGTTTTTCCTAGCTTTAGGGACAAACACATTGATACCATGTGCTTGAAGCACACATTTTTCGTCATGAGATTTATTAAGGCCAGGGTCATGAAAACTAAGGTCACAGAGAATGAATGACCCTGCCTTTGCAGCGGCGGAATATCAGAGGCTGTGCCATGAGATTGACAGCATTCCTCATCCCCAGCTCGATGCAAAGGACTAATGGAGCACCTCTAACTTGTAGACAAGATAAAATGACAAGATATTCTTTGGTCGCGAAGAAGTAGTGAACCCAAAGATACCGGAATTTCTCAGTAGCGACCATGGTCCCGTGGCCAATTTATTCATGGTCCAACAGATCACCAGGTACCGCTTGAAAGCACACCGCAAGCCTCATGTGTGTGAGTTTAAATACACATGTGCAAGATCTAGTGTAGAACAAACGCATGTTTATGACCAAGATGCACTTCGCATTGCCTCTGACTTACTTAGCAACTGTCCACTGTTTGATTGTACACCAGTGCCACAAAGATGATTGAGCTAAACATCGCCCTTCCAGGCAGAAAATCCTCATCGTCGGCTTCATCATCGTTACCATTTTGCCATTGCTCATTGTGACCCAATTGTAATAGAACGAATGGAACAACACGTGGGATTGGCACTTTCACCACATATGAAGTTGTGTTAGGCTCTCTTTATTATTCATTGTTAGTTGCAAGCACAATATGAGGTCGGCAATTTAATCAAACATGAAGTTGTGTTGGGCTCTCTTTATTCGTTGTTAGATGACAGAATTCATAGATCATTCCTGTCTATTTAAGCTAGTACAATCCTTGCAGGTTTCGCTCATGGATGGGTCGAAAGGCCAATTCAGCATGTCTCGTTGACACGTGTTTTAGGATGTTTTAGGTACGGATGACATGACCAGCAGATCTCACAGTTTCCTTTTATCCTTGCCCTTTCATGCCAGCTGCACTGAGGTAAATATTGAGAAACGGTCAAAGTCATCGCAGCCTTTTGAGAGACTTGTCGTCATCAGAGATTGATCAAACTGCTGAGACGGTTGGACTTTACAAACACAAGCCCATTGATGATGACAATTTGTGGTCACCATTGGTATCACAACTGTCTAATCTTAAAGGTATTGAAATGCAAAATCTATTGCAGGACCCGGCCTCAAACCAGCTTGAAGATCACGCAGAAGGAGCTGAGTGAGCACAGCACCACCTCCTCGTTGTGGCTCTCCATTGGTGGAGTGGTCCCTTCCCGGCAGTTCAGCATTCACTTGATCCGACAAGCTGTCAATGAAGATCTCTTGTAGCATCTTGTAGTCTCGTGCCAAGGTGTGTGATGTTACAGACTTTTTGATGCTTCATCCTGGTGGGAATGAGGCACATTTCTGCTGACATTGGCCGAGGGTATCAAAGAGCCAACTCATATAATCTGAAAAGAGCTGCGCATGTACAACTCTGAGGATGGCATATATGATGGCATAGTTTTGTCCTGAATGACATAATGACCACAACATTTTTTACTTTGTGTTTGAGCAGTCGCTGTTTGGGAATCCTGCAAAGAGCACAAGCCAAACCAGTGTGTCGTCGTTGGCTGGTCAGATGGCTGAATAGGATGCAACGGGCTAGTCAAGCAGATGCTGTAGATGGTATTCTCAACTTTGGACATTCTGAAGGAATTTGACAGGAATGTCGTGTTCGTGTTGGATGCCCAATATATAATTCCTGCAACTCTTGTGATGTGTCTGAGCCCAAGAAACAGATTAATTAGTAATGTCAACCAGGGTTGCTCTAATCTATTGTAGGTAAATGAATGGTAAATGATATCTACAAAGAGGGGATAAGAGGGGAAATCGGTCAAGCTCTAAAAACCTACCCAGTTCCCCCCCTGTTAACAGTGTTCAACCATATTCAACCAACTCATGTCTTGGGTCCCCAGTGGCTGCAGGTGCTCTTACAGTACGGCGGCCAAGAGGCCGCTGAAGCTTTTGAGGAGGTGGGCCATTCTGACTTTGCACGCCCCTTGGCACAGAAGGTGGGCCTTTCTGCTGGTTTTTATGAAGTAACTCTGGGATACATGGATCAGCCAGGATTCTTGCCTAGTTCTTAAGAGTGGTTTGTATGATTGACAGCACTGGGATCAAACAAACAGTATATAATTGATCACAATTGAACACATTATGCATATCTAATTATATAATAAATATTATATATATATACACGGTAACGACATTTATATAAATAATATGTGGAGGGCGGGCCAGACCGCGAGGCCCCGGAGTTAGTATGAAATATCAGTTCGTATATTTAAATGTATAGTTACGGTATGTTTAAATGAATTGGATTCCGTATGTTTAAATGGCCGGGCAGGCCAAGGAAAACCTTCCCGGAGGTAGTCTAAAATACCTGTTCGTATATTTAAAAGTCCGTATATTAATTACCGTATATGTATATATATATATATATATGGGTGCAAGTCAAAATAGGAGGTCCGGAACAAGCTCCGGGACCACACCCGTTCCATACCCCCGTTCCATACCCCCGTTCCATACCTCCTTGAAGGATCCGTTCCATACCTCTGTTCCATACCTCTGATCCATACGTTATGATATATATATATGTATTTATATATATATGTATTTATATATATATATGTATTTATATATATATATGTATTTCTATATATATATATATAAGTACATATATATATATGTATTTATATATATATACACCTGAATATGTGCAGTCTGATTTTACATTTGTAGGCGCATACTTGAGCGCACATACATACATGAGTGTGTACATGCAAGAATAGGTTTGCTATGCCCAAGCCCTGTGATTGTGTTGGCAAGTCTGTGCCTGCAGCGTTTGTTGTGTGATGGTAGGGATGTGCTTGGCTGTTGTCAGCTGGCAGTCTAAGAATGGATTGCTTGTAACCCTCCCTCCCTCTCAACCTGTGGCAGGTTTGCGCCTGCACCACTTACAGTTGCTGCCCGCTGTGTCACAGCTGTGATGTTTGATGGTAGAGATGCGCTTGGCTGTTGCCAGCTGGCAGTCTAAGAATTGCTTGCTGCGCTACTCTCGCTCCACACTGCCAATTTTGATAAAGATGCGCTTCGTGGTGGCAGAGCTGTGCTGGAGTGGGCCGTTTCGTTCCAGACCCCGTTCCATACCCGTTCCAGACCCGGACCACCCATGTACCATCCATGACCCACTTCCGCGTGAACAAACGGCAGGTTCTCACATAGACTGCTCCTAAGCCATCCTTTGCGCGTGGGTTTCGGGAGCCTAGAGTCTTGCTACGCGGGGACACAATCTACCCCATAGGGACCGGGACTTCTGAGTTTTAAGAGTAGGAGGTGGGACCTGCGTGACAGGTCTGAAGCTGAGCGGATAGCTTCACATAGTAGCCAGTGGGTGAGGCTGGCTACCAGTTATGTCCTAGCTAGTGCACGAGCACTAGCCATGCAAGGCAAACCTGCGTTGAACAGGTGTACAACAAGGATGCCGCGCAGATGAGAAGTAAAAATGGGCGGCAGCCAGTGGTAGTAGCTTCAACGTGCATATCCTTGAGATGTAATTATATATACATATATTACACATATATACAGTATACATATATATTTATATTTATGTACAGCTTATATTTCATCACATTCCAAAGGTCCGGAACAAGACCAGTTACGAAACCCCTTCGTTCCATACGTCCGGAACAGCGCGGAACGTTCCATACACAATTTTGACTCATAGCCATATATATTTATTTATATCATACACTGTGTACACAGTCGAGTCAGGTTGGCCAATCTGCGAGTGACACGTCCATCACCGCCTCAAATTCCATGTACAGGAAAGATGCTTCAAGAAAAAGCGATTGGAGTGCTGGTGGACGGCAACTCATCTTTGCAAAGCACTGCCGGGACGAGTCTTTTGGGCCGACTTTTCACCCGAGAGGATGGCTTCAACATCCACAAAGTGCTACTTGGAATATGATCGACTAAGGTGGACAGAGAGTGGGAAGTCACGGATTCAATCTGCAGATGAGGAATGAGGGCTGATTGATAGAAAATATTTGCTTATTTTTGCTGACAATAGGGTTGTGCCAAATTCGTGCATAGTCTACTGGACATGTCTTACTGGATCAGCGAGCGTTGTTGTACTGAGACTTCGACATGAAAAGAATCCACAGCCTCTTTGGCGAGGGTGAGTCACTGCTTTTTCGCCTTTGATTTCCCGTTATGTTGCTATGGTCATACACTAAGATCACTAAGTCCGCTGGTAGTCGAAATCCCATTGCCATTTGGGGAGTCCATTGGCGCCGATCCAGGTTGGGCTTCAGTGTTTTGCTGCATGTCTTCTATAGGATTTACACCCAGCTCGCCTGGCAGTGGGACCGCTGGGTTGGGAGATGAAAGGAGTCCATTCATGTATATCACATATCAATACATATCATATCATATCATATCATATCATATCATATTATATCATTATAGTATAGATGCGGTCAATGGGTTGATGGTAAATGGCACGGAAAGCCGGAGAAATGATGAGAAACATGCTGTCTTCTTTTTTGGTATGTTTCAAGGAGCAGCTCCAGTATGGATTCACAGGAACTTTGCTGTCAAAATTGATTTCAGCATGCTCCAGCTTGCTACATTGCACTTCTTGTCCAGCATGCAAAACCATGATATTATCATGTAAGAATGGTGTAAAACTGCAGAAAATCTGACAGGTCTTTTAGAACTGCTAGGACGGCGGCTTCAGTTCTGGATGGGTAGACCTAGCGCTCTGCTGGTTGAGCATTGCGCTCCAGTCGACATCATATTTCTTTGAGGTGCCCGGCAATGCATCGGGACACACGAGTCTTCAGAGCATGAATGATGACGCGATGCTGCTATGCCTTGACCAGTAGCATTTGATGATATTTGTTGATGTTTCCACTGATACTTGTATTGGAAATTAAATGATTAGATCTTGTGAGGAGAGTATGTAGGAGGCAAAAAAGGAAGCTTATTCGATCTTATTCGATGCGACAGTTTTGGCTCAATTTCTGCTTTCTGTCATTGCAGCTGCTTGCATCGCATGCGTCGCTCAACACTGCCTGTTCAAAGGCGCTTCGTTGTGAGTTTCGTTGCCGCGGCGCTGGTCGTTTGGTGTAACAGTCATTTCCTGATGGGCTTCTCAGGCCCTGTAGCAAAAGCTCGAAGTGGCGCGGGAGCAAAGGATTACGTGCTGGTGATGCATCAAATGTGTCCATTTGCTCAAAGGGCGTGGTTTGCCTTGGAGGAGTCTGGCTTAAGTTTTCAGTTGAAGGAGGTTGGCCTTGGATCCTCACTGGTCTATGACCTGAATCCAAAGGGTTTGGTTCCGGTCTTGGTCGACCCTGATGGCAAAGTCATTGCAGAGTCGGAGGACATCGTGTTTACCATCGCGGAGCGTGCTGGGAAACACAGCAGTGCCAGTGAAGTGGCAAGCATTCGACAGTTGGTGAATCAGAGATTGCTAGCAGCTGGGAAAAAGGCGAAACTCTTTGGTCAAGGCGTTTGATGTCGAACTACCAATCAATATTTTCAATATGTCAGGATATGCCAGGCTTTTCTATGCTAATCTTAAATGGTTCAATTTCTTCAAGCCGTGAGTATGTTTGCACCCTCAGGTGGTGATCTCAGCCCTGTGTTGCAAGACTTGGACAAGCTGGTGGTTGGTCCTTTCATGGCAGGTGATGAAGTAACAGCTGCCGATATCTCAGCTGCCCCGATGCTCCAGCGTCTCTTTGAGGATTCCTTGGTACCTGCTACTTGTAGCAACTTGCACACGTGGTGGAAGGCCATCAGTGCCCGGCCCACCTTTCAGAAGACGATGGTCAGGTCCTATTGGTGGTGGTGGTAGCGTCCGCGCGAAGCGTGGACGGATCTTTTCCGTGCCAAAGAAGAAAAGGGAACTGCGGCTTGAAGATGATTGAAGCCAGTTTGTTTCATGTTGTTCTTTAACTATTTTTTATGATACAATTTATTGTACTCAAAATGGCTCTGCAATTTAGATACGCCGCATGATATGTTGTACCATTGAGTCGCTTCAGCAATCTTTATACTGGTTGATGCCATCGCCATTCTGCAAGCCCACACGAACATCGCTAGCTGTGATGAAACTCCAATGGATTTGGTAACTTAAAGTCAAAGTGTTACATTTTCGGCATGATTGGCCTATTGCACAGGTTGGCCCCCACTTATCGGCTGTTAATGGCTGTTGATGGCTGTTGATGGCTGTTGGCTGTTGCTTTGATTTTGAAGCTGCTTGGCACGGGACACGGTTCCTGGAGAATCCCTGGAGAGTTGTTGACTGTCACAGGTGCCCCGCGCTCGTTTGTTGGGGAGTCCCATGATTTGGCAAGAGTGGCGAGCGCACAATTATATTTTTGTTTTGCGGTGTCTCGGCATGTCTCGGAAACGGCCATGTGTTTCCATGTTTTCCTCTTGAAACGGCATGTTTCTGGAGTTGTGTTTCATGATGTTTTATGTCGAGTTGGATATCGGAGATTTCCTGGAGGTCGGTTTCCTATTCTTGAGAGAAGGGCTTGACATGTTTCTTGTGGACTTAGAGGTTTTGAGGTTTATCAATGATGATATTATTTGACTGATATCAAAATTCACTTTGATGTACCATGTAGGGAGAATGTTGTGATGAGCAATGTACTTCATGACCTTACCTCCTATCCTGTGGTCAACTAGCCCAGCAATCTCCAAGGCATGTCCTGGGATTCACAATTTGCTGGGGCTATTTGCGCTGGGTCAACATCAGCAACAAAATTGCTGGAACATTGCTGTCCTTGTCTATGTTTGCGGAGCCTTGGTTGGGAACCTTCTGGGAGGAGATTGACATGGGTTTTTGAAAAACGGTTTTTGTGTTCTACCTTTTAAATACATAATCAAATAGTTACATGAAATGGAGATAAACACCACGCACTCAAAGAGTCCAAAATTTTGTTCCCCCAAATATATCCAAATATGTTGTCCTACTCATGGCAGCTGCCCAGGTGCTCTATGGTCAGCTCTATTCAGTGGATGTCATCACAGCCTATATCCGGGAGGACTGCTTTGTAGATCGCAAGACAGTTTCTATTGTCAAGTCTTATTAGAAACATGTATCATCGTGTATCATCATTAAATTATATTTTGTATAAATCATACATTTAATATATATATGTATACAGATACACATAAATTTTGATGCATATATACAATTTGAATCGTATAATCCGTATAATGTATAATATATTTATCCACTAAATCCCTTGTAGAAAAGGAGTCCACCTTGATCCGTGGAGCTTGACAGGATAAGCACACCAGTCTCACGGCTTCGTGGCCATTTTGGGAGGGCTGTCCTATTTGGCTGGAAAAAGCCATCAAATGGTACTACACCATCGCACAGTTTCAGGTGCGGCCTGTTATTCTCGATGTATCAAAGTTGAGACCATTGATCCATGGGTTGTGCTTGGCCACCCTTGGTGCAATGCTGTTTATTCACACAGCTGTGTGTCCTGTAAACAACCGCAGAAAATATTGTAAGAAATTGTGAAACTCTGCGATGTTTGTGAATGTTGTTTGGCTTTGCAATTGACATTGCAGGTAATTTGAGCTACTCGATCAGAGCTTGAAGCATGGATATAGATTGTTAAAACCACAACTGTAACCTCTGAAAGGCAAGCACCCTGCTGATCATGACGGGCACTGACCTGTATGCCAAGTACATGGTGTCTTGTTGGCCAATTAGCAGAGTTCCGATGTTCTCATCACCGCATTTCGCAAAGCGCAGGTTCAGTCAAGACGCCTTATTGACTTGTCAATGAATTTGATATTATCCGCTGATGATACTGACGATTTCGAAATATGTTTACTGAAACTCCTGAAACATGTTCAAAGATTGAAACCGATTCTGGACAAGCTTTGCACCACACATGTTCAACTTTTCGTGCAACATGCAGAAAGCAGGCAGTACTGTGCTCTTGGTCGAATGGAAACTAACCATTGAAGGACAAGGATGAAAATAAAGGACGGGGCTCAAATTCCTCCTTCCCGCCCAGCAGTCCACAGCCGCGAAAACAGACTGTCCTGAGGTCATTTTCCCCTTTCAGTTCGCCTCCTTTTTGATGACCTTAGTCAGGAAAGGTATTATCACCACCAAAGGCTTTCATGCCGGCTACTTGGCAATGAATCTTCGATATTTTTCTTTGTCAACAGGTTGTTGCCTTGGGCTTGCACAGGTAAGGTTATTTATTGGTTGGAACCCTGTGAAACTCCTTGAATGTTCAGGAGGTAGCTCAGTCATGACTTTGCCAATGGACCTCGGAATGTCCCTGTTATTAAACATGTTGTGCGCGATTTTCACCGTTAGCAAGCGCATCCAATTTCTATATACTCAAAACGTTATCCCGGCAAGAGATCCCAAACAGTGTGGGGGTGGGGGAGGATAATGTATGAGTATGATGATGATGATGATGATGACGACGACGACGACGACGATGACGATGACGAGGACGAGGACGACGACGAGGACGACGACGAGGATGACGACGAAGATGACGACGAGGGTGACGAGGAGGATGACGAGGAGGATGAAGAGGAGGGTGACGAGGAGGATGACGAGGAGGATGACGAGGAGGGTGAAGAGGAGGATGACGAGGAGGATGACGAGGAGGATGAAGAGGAGGATGACGAGGAGGATGACGAGGAGGATGAAGAGGAAGATGACGAGGAGGATGATGAGGATGACTAGGATGACGAGGATGACGAGGATGATGAGGATGATGATGGTGGTGGTTGTGGTGGTGAGAATGATCATGTTGCGGACGATTATGTTGAGAATTATGATGTTGAGGATGATGAGGTGCAGGATGATGAGGTGCAGGATGATGATTTTGAGGAAGATGAGGTGGAGCATGATGATGTTGAGGATAATGAGGTCAAGGGGGAGGAAGATGGATGATGTTGAGGATGATGAGAATGAGAGTGATGATGCGGAAGATGAAGTGGAGGATGAGAAGGTGCAGGATGATGATGTTGAGAAGGAGGAAGATGATGATGTTGAGGATGATAATGTTGAGGAGGAGGATGGAAAGGCTGATGATGTTGAGGATGATGAGGTCAAGGGGGAGGAAAATGATGGTGTTGAGAATGATGATGTTAAGGAGCAGGAAGATGATAATGTTGAGGAGGACGGATCCCAAGACCGCAACCCACACTTTGTGCGAGCCTGCGCAGTCGAAATGCACTTCAACATTGGACAAGAGCCATTTCATGCTGAAATTTACAGGTAAAATGCCGCGGACCAGGTGGAGCACCCTGATCAAGCATCGGCCTTGACACTCACCGTAAGAACCCCTCAGTGTGGACACACTGTTTGGGGAATAATGCAAAAGATATTTAAGTAATGCGCAGCCCTTTCATTCAAAGGATTGCTAAAAGTAGACGGTTTATTTGCTTCAGACTTGCTACCCAAGGATACCTTTGGAGTTTGTGGATGGTGGTTTGGCTGATTCTTAAGTGCGACGTGGTCACCACTGTTGCCACTTGGGTCACTTGGAGCACCAGGAGGATTTATTTTGAAAATTCCTGTGCACAGTTATGGATCTTTGACCTGTTACGACATGTTACGACGTCACCCTGCAGTCAGCACATCTCGGCGACAAGTGATCCATGGAACCACCAAGGCCATGTGGATTTGTCTCTATTTCTTTCGTTCAAACGGTCTCTCGAAATATGCCTTGTGGCTGGGACCTTTCATGCCACAGCTGCTGATGTATTTCGAACTGATGCCAACAAGCAATGCACCGTGACTGCGATGGCATTTTTTTTGTTATTTTTTGACTTTTGCTGGTTTTGCCTTTGGTGCAAAATCAGATGAATTACTTGGAGGGTAAGACTTGGCAAGACGTTGGATTGTTTTGATGCAGATGTCGTTTCAAGTTGGAAATGTTGGCGATGGGAAGCTGTCCATTCAACCGCAGTTTCCTGCAAGCAAGACGTGATATGCATATATGTAAAGTCACTTGTCACTTGTTCGTGTTTCCAACTGAAACTGTTTCATCCAAAGCTGGAGTTCAACAGCTGCCTTTTGCGCTGTCTCAGATCTTGCAATTTCCGGTGATGCTCATCACGTGGCTGATTTGCATGACCATCCAGAAGGCAGGTTACTCTAGGTGTTAAGCCTTGCAGGTTTCATTTGGCAAGTCGTGTTCCACCAGAATGATAGCCACAAACCTCACCACCTCTGTCAATATCCATCAATATCAATATCAATACATCCCCCAAAATAATGGCCAGATCTCCCATGCTATTGATAGATATCCCGAACTTGCAATCCCCACCTTAGGATACCTTAGGCCCACCCTGTCCTCATCCCATCTGCGCAGGTCTTCATGGGTTTCGCCACAGAAACCCGCGCCCGGCGCTTTTTGGAGGCCCGGAGGAAGCCCCTGAAGCTGGTTGCCAAAGAGAAGGCCCACCGGGGGATGGGGATTCACATGGATTCACCAAGGTGCCGGAAAAAGATGGGGTAAATTGATGGCAACTTTATGGGTAAAACATGGTAAGGCCATCGTGAACTAGTACTGATGACTAACTGATTGTTAATTATAGGTTTTTTTCGCGATTAGGATGAGCAATGGTTGGGGATGGTACAGATAGTCACAAATCTGGTTTGGCAATGAATGGGGTAGTAATGGAGCCCTCTGATTTTGCGCTTCCCAGGTGAACAATGCTTTCTATCTGCTGAAGTTTGAGATCCCTGCCGGATACACTGCGGGGATCAACCCTGGGCAGCATGTGAAGGTCCATGTGCCCAACATCTCGAAGGATCAGCCTACGTGGAACACACATATGAACCTGGAGGAGAGATAGCGCCAGAATTCATAGTGAGCAGGGACTGTTCAACCTATTTTCGACGCCAAGTGGCTTCATATCAATGTTGGGGCATGGACATTTTCGACATAGAAATTCCGGGGTGTGCGTCTCATAGAATTCAGGATCTCCCATAGCAAAATGATTATATTCTGGCGGATTTGATTATCTGGTTGTGAATTGCCTATTCGCCTATTCACACTGTCACAATTGGAGACCTCTGGGACTGCAAGACACAAGGAGCCTGTAGACCAGCTGAGCAGATCCTATACACCTGTGTCAGCAACGACATCTCCTACCATGGACCTGATGATTCGTATCCCGGCCATTGTGTCAAAGAACGCTTCGCCCATTGACCGGGTTTGAAAAGATAACTTGACCATTGACGAAAGGATCCTGATCATCCCGTGCAGATGTGGATGTGGGAGTGGTTGTGGTTGCAGTAATCATAACAGTTCAATCAACAAGATGGGCAGGAGGACTCTTTTTCTACAAAGCTTTCCAAGGTCTGTATCCGAAGGATCCACAGCGTGGCTTTCCTGATGGAGGCCTCCATTTTGTTGAAATGAAATTGGCCCGAAAAAGGGCTACCTCGAGGCTGTGCCAGCTGGAATCTCATTGCAGAACTGAGGATTCCTGAGTAGTTTGTACAAAGGTAGAAACGTTTATATGTATATGTATTTATATATATATACATATGTTATATATATATATACTTGTATATTATATATACATACATGTATTATATACACACACGTATGATATGTATATATATATATATATATACATAATATATATATATAATTATATATACATATATACACGTATGATTTCTATATATATATATATATTTCATACATATATATATATTTCTTACGTGTATATATATATATATATATGATATATATATATTATATTATATACAAATGTGATATATCTATATATGTGATATATATATATATGATATATATATATGATATATATATATGATATATATATATGATATATATATATATATGATATATATATATATGATGTATATATATATATGTGATATACGTACATATATATATATATATGATATATATATATGATAAATGTATACATATATAATTATATATGATAACATTTTCTGAATCTGAATATATCTTTAAGTTGTCACAATCATCTCATGAGATTGATGAGATCCACCATTTGCTTGTGACCCCAGCGGGATGTCTTTTTGGTCAATCGACATGTCCCACAAGTGGAACAGCAGCCACAACAGCAGGTCGTGCCAGCACTTTTTTGATCGATCAGCTGAAAATTGGGCAGAAGATGTCTCTGACAGGGCCCCATGGTCATCAGTTCCTTGATACTTAGAAAGGGTGGGGGGAAGGCTGGTTGATCTCATGCCTGTACTCAGATGTTTGTTTATGTCTATTCTGCGAAATTGCTATCTAACACTCTAAACATCACTAAACAAACCATGTGTTTTCACTTTTTGGATGCTGTACATGAAATGTTTGTTCTTTACCCATTTGCAGATGTCTCTCCATGCTAATGGCGACACAAACCAGACAGACCAGACAGCAATCCAGCTTAGTGGGGCATCGATGTGGTGTGGGAGTGACGGCCAATTGACAAGACCAATGTTGAATGCTGCTCTACACTCTGTAGTCAACAGTCAACAGATTGTTTGGAATGAGCTGATTCTTTAGATTCCAGGTGAGCAAGGGCTTAGTCCAGAGCGCACCATCTTCTGCCACCCCTTGGTTTGGAGGCTCTATTTTGGCCAAAGCCGCTTCTTGGTGGGAAAGGACATCATCACAGCTCGCGCGTGCGGCGCCCTTGCGGGTGGCTCCGGCATCACTCCTGTGATCAGCACATTGCAAGATATTTGGCAGGCAGCCATCCGGCGCATCAGGGGTCAGAAGCTGGCACTGCATGGCCCGAACTTTGGAAAAACATTCTATACATTTCTCGACTTTATTCTGCTGTAGATCCTGTGGCAAATGCAGAGTCTGCCCTTCAACATTTCCGTGCCTTCAAGAGAAGAGTATGATGAGCATACCCAAACATTCTTCACGGACTGATCTCAATGATTGCAAGCAAATCGGAACCATTCAAAACCACACATGATTCCATTGTTTTCACATCTTGATTGCTCAGTCATAGTTTCTCCTTAGAAGCTCTTCCAAGTTCTGCATGCAGGAAGGTCGCCGCGACATCCGTGATCGAGATCAACGAATCATGGGTGAAACAACAGTGAGGCCGGGCAAGTCACGAAAACCCCACTGCCTGGGCCACTGCCTGGGCTGGGAAACCGTCGTGGCCAGGATGGATGAGTTCGCAGTGCTTCACGTCACGCGCAAGGCATCAGAGGCCTTGCCCTCGTCCTGGTATGAGCCAGGCAAAGGATCTGGTGATGTGACACCCATCCGGGTCTCGCACGTTGTTACGTCGGAGACCAGCAAGGTGACTGTTCCAGGCACAGAGGGGGGATTTTCAAGATGTTGAAGGGTCACAGAAACCATGAGAAATTGGCATAATTAATTCCATATGAATTGCCGTAATTAAACTTGAAACACCATTGAAGCACCATTTCCAGGAACAGGGAATTCCTGGGCTGGCAAGCTGACTGTCGAAATGGTTCAGCAATCTCTGTATCTTGGCCAGCAGGCGCCTGGTACAGTAATACATTGAAGGGCCCACAGGCCACAACTGATGCAACACGGATCTGGCTATCAGCCTTCAAGCATACCTGGACACTCTTTTTGGGACTAGTGCTTGAGTAGAGCACAGATATAGGCCGAATCTCTATGAATCTCTTATATCCCTAACATTCTCAATCCAGTTGTTAAAGGTTTCGCCCAAAAAACTCTCGGATCTGGTGCTCTGGGTGCTTGTAAGGCCAGCTCCTGCTGATGATGTGGTGATCTTTGTGTGCGGACCACAAGGTTTCAATGAATCCTTGTGTCGGCCAATGCTCCAAAAGCTGGGATACAAACATGTTGTCACTTGGCACTTGGCGAACAAAACAACGGAATGGTGGGTCAGTTCCTTGGACTAATCGCTTGGAACATCGGAGCTCGGATCTGACTCAGGTAATGCTGCAATGAGGCAATGAGTTGGCTATGAGCAGCAGGCCGGACAAGATCGGACAAGGGTCACTTGCGCTGCTGTCACTTCACGGAACATGGTTGAGGATGAAGGCGACAGGATCGACAGGGTTTTATCGTACCAGATCGTTCGGGAAACGTGTTTTTCGATCAGCATGGACTGCATTGTCAACTTGCAAAATGTCCTAAAACCTACTGAAACATGTGAGATCATGTGAGCAACGAACAACACGCAGAGGAAAGCAGTGAACAAAGGCAGCCGTGTTTGTCAGGTGAAAAGGAGTAGAAAGAAGAGTTCCAAAAGATTAACTCCTGAGTTTACTCCTGGGATAGTTACTTTCAAAACTTGGTACCCATTCATTCGGACTCTTGAGTTAATCTTTTGTGGATGATGACTTGCTAGGAAGACTTAAATCAAGAGTTAAATCCTATGTTTGGAGTGACGTTGGCCGGTAGCATTGCTCTGACTGATTGGTTGTCAGGAAGACTTAAATCAAGAGTTAATTCCCCCATAGTGTCCGCGACAGGTTCTGGGAAGTTTGGGTGGGGAATAGTTTATTAGGTTTTGGAAAGGTTCCTGTGCAGTTCCCAGGTTCCGGTAGGTTTCAGACAGGTTCCCGTGCAGTTCCTGGCAAGGTTCCGGTGGGTTTTCCTGGCAGCTCGAAGGGTGGTTCGGGACGGTTTGAAAAATTCCTTTCAGGAGGACTTAAATCAAGAGTTAATTCTCCCACAGTAGGTGGTTCCGGTAGGTTTCGGACAGGTTCCCGTGCAGTTCCCAGGAAGGTTCTGCAAGGTTTCGGAAAGGTTCCTGTGCAGTTCTCGGCAAGGTTCTGGTGGGTTCCGTACGGTTTTCCTTGAAGTTCGAAGGTTGTTTCCAGGAAATTTCTGGGAGGTCCGGGACACTGGTTGCAGTTGCCACGGAACGTTCGGGACGGTTGAAACGAAAAGGTCCTTTCAATAAGATTTAAATCAAGACCATATGGTCTTGCGAGGGATGGTTGTGGTTGCAGTCGCATTTGGACCACGGAACGTTCGGGACGGTTTGAAACGTGAAGTTTCATGTGGACATGGCCCGGGCAGCCTTTGCAGCACGAATTGTTTGCTCGCACTTGGTCATCCGCAATGAAGCGTGCCCTGGTCATGGTGTTGTGGCTGCTTGTGTCCCATGCCTTGGCTGTGGTGCTGTACCGACGTGGTACACTTCCTGGAACCAGGGTTCAATTGGTTGAGTCGGAAGCGGGCTTGACGTCTCAGCTGAGTGCAGAAGGATGGGAGGACATGGGTTGCAGCAGCACCCATTGCATGGTCATTCATGTTCTCTTCTCTTTCTCCCTTGCATCTTCGAGCATGGATGCACGTCTCATCACATGGAGTCTGGAATGGTGAGACCCAGACATGTGACGTTCATTCATGTTCTCTTCTCTTTCTCCCTTGCATCTTCGAGCCACCCAGGGTGTTACAAGCCAAAAGAAACTATTTGCAGGGTAATGTGATTCGTTCATAACCGTGGGAGAAATTACCTTTCAGTCACAGCTCCCATAGATGAAAGCCGGGACTAAGGGTCAAGGCCACAGTTCAGACCGGATTTCTATTACCAATCTGAAGATGTTCTATTGCCAACCTCACGAAGGTCGTAAGAAAGAATTAACTTGCGATTTAAGTCCTTCCACGAGGATGCTAGCAGCTGGAAGGTTTATAAATTTGGGCAAAAAAGAATTAACTCGCGATTTTACTCCTTCCATGGGGCTGTTCCAATGCAATAACCATTGCAGACACTACAAGAAAGCCTGGGATAAAATCACGAGTTCACTCCTCAAACCAGAAGGTTGCCCTGGTGGAGCATAAACTTTGAAGTTTAGAATTTTGCAACTCCTGTTTTCACTCCCTTCCAAAACTTTGTCAGGTCCAACCATCAGCATGAGTGTGCAGTCTCACTGCAGCTCGATCAATTTTCTGCTCTGCTCATAGCTTCACAAAGGCAAAAGAGAATGTCCAGAGCACTGAGCAACATGATTGCAACATGGCTCAACCCAGCGAGAAAAAATGTTGTTGAGCGATCGGGCCACTAGAGCATCAGGCTTCAGCAGGCAAATTGATTTGTGTTGTGTTGATGCGACAATCTCCTATGTCACAACTGTCACAATGAAAACAGAGACTGAAGATGATGATGACTTTAGATGACAGAAGTATGTACAGTATGTATAGATGACTTTGCTGCTCCTTATGATTGGCGAAACTGTGCAAGTAGCACAGTGGGATGGCCAGCGCCTGCGCAGTGCCGACAGGAGACGCTGGAGCTTGCCTCGAAGAAGAACGAGGAGACCATCATTCTAAGCCATGTGGTGCTGTTGCCTGAAGTACTCTTCTCAGTGCCTGGTGCTGCCAACTGGAATCGTCTGAGCTGGCGAAAGAGTTTCAGCATTTTTTTCTCTGACATGTGCTGATTGGATGAGGCCACACCAGGTCAAAATGGTTTGACCCTTTTGTGGAACTATGACAAGGACTGGTGCGACGGGTGTCACATGCTGTCCTTGATTCTTAGTAGTCATTTGTCACTGTGGGCAATCCTGTTTCAGAACTCGCTTTCCACTTGAGATTAGTGATCTCGTGACAATGACTTATGACTATTTGACTATCAAAAATAGACCAATGATGAAGGTTTTTTGCTGTTAGCTCATGTTAGCTCACTGTTCAGCAGCCCAGCATGTGAAGGTTCTTCAAGTACTTCGAAGCGCCGAAAGACCGCCAACAGCGGTCCTGTGCTGTCCTCATTTTTGCGAATGTCTATTCCTTGCACTGTAGCGCACGGTTTGTTAGTTATGCATTATGATCATTATGGCAGTTTGACAGAAGGGAATTGCGCAGAAAATTCAAAATCAAGTGACGTCACTAAACTGTTTACATATTAGTTTACTCATGTTTTCATCACGCTTTCAAGTTACTCATTGAAAGACATGAAAGATACGGGCACCCACTTGTAGGATGTGGATGTGGCCTGCCGAGGTGTGGACATGCACATTTGATGGTGAACTCCAGGGACCAGGTCGCTCCAATCTGTGGATCAAATAAGAAAACAACCAATGGTGATAATAATGATAATATATTATAATTATATAATTATATGATATATAATATATGATTATTATTGACAATAATATAATTATATATAATATATGATTATTATTGACAATAATATAATAATATATAATATGGTTGATAATATATGATAATGATAATAAATGATAATGATAATGATAATATAATATTCATTCATGTTCCCACTATTTCCCACTATCATGACATCATTTCAAGTGATGTCATGATGATGATAATGATGATAATGGGAATAACAATGATAGTTAAGAATGGTCATGATGACAATAGACATGACAATAATCATCTTAGCCATGGATTCACATGGCCACGTTGTTGGACACCCACCCGTGTTCAGGTCAGTGGAACTCACCATGTGACCTTGCCGACTCCTGTGGAGGCGAGGATGTGCTGATATTTGGTTTTGAATGGAAGAATCGATGGACACTTTTCGCATCTTTTCTCATGTATATTTTTTTCAATTTGAGACATACCAAATCAGAATATCAGATGTGAGCAAGGTAGGATACCAAGTTTATAGCTAACAGGCTAACAGATACTGAAACGACCACCCTCACGATATATCTCCGAGGCTAATCCTGGCTCAGATGCTTGCGCCGTAGGGACCCCAACTGCAGTTGCGCAGTTGCAGGATCAGTTGCCCTAGTTACTGTACCTAGTCTAGTTATTTGGGTGGGAGTCACATTTCATCAGGTGCAGATCAGCTACAGAAAATCCACACTCCCGATGCAGACCTCTAATGCAAGGTAACATTGAATATAGAAGAATATAGCGGAGTATAGCGCCAAGATCACCACATATGGATCCAGCCGCACTTTTGAATCATTTGGGTCTTGGGCAAACCGGTCCATTCCCATTTGTTTGGTCGATTATGGCCCAATGTAGCTCGCATGCTCATCTCCTGTCAGCAAAAGAACCCCCTAAGGTCGTTGAGGCATTTAGCAATGGCCTCTTGAAAATACGAGGAGGGCAGAATGGAGAGGTTTTGGACATCCATTGTTTTTGTCATTGATTTAACATGGAAGCCACCACCAAGCTCTCTACCAAAACAGATAAAACAGGTCGTAGGACCTACGTCGTAGGAGTGTTCTTGACGACGTGTTACACATGTTTCTTGCAGGACGTGGAGATGTCTTGAGTTCTACCTTGGCATGTTCCACACATGCCACTTGTACATAGAAAAAAGTCGCATCGAAGAACTGTTCTTTCTGGACTGCACAAACCCATTCTTTTCTCAGCATCAGAATATGACTATAGGATACTATAGGATACTATAGGATACTATAGGATACTCTAGGCACATATTTGTCATGCCATAGCCCATAGTCATAGTCACTGCCCTTGATTCTGCTTCTGCGGCCAGAACGATCATTTTTTCCAGTTTTCATTCAACTGCCCTGTCTCCTGAGACAAAAAGATGCATAGAACGGAGGGTCATTTGACCGGCGGTGATTGCAACAGTGCTAAAGACCATGTATGATAAATTCTAAGGAGCAACTGTGAATTTCCTCACCGTTGGTGCTCAGTGAATGCATGTACATATATGCTTAGCGTAGATAGACAGGAAGCATTACATCGGATCTAATCATGTGATGGTGACATAAGTATCATTAAGTATCCCAGTCGCAAACCAGCTTCATCCACCTACTGACTTTAGAATTTGTTTCTTGATTCCGTTGAAGCCTGACCCCATGACGGCCGTACGAGTTTACTCGTTGGAATAAAAACCGATGAGCTAAAAGATCTGCTATTTTCAAACATACATTTGACGATTTTGACGTTTGAGTCCATTCAACTGCATGATTTAAAGAGCAACAAGCCGGTGTCGTGTGTTTTTCGACCGTTCTCGGCAACAATGTCTCAAAGTTTGTGTAAGCATTTTTTGCTTGGTTGCTCCGGGGACGGGCAAACTGTCCATGCGCAAGCGGTGTGTAAGGTCTGACACAAAGCAAATGAGGTATGGTACGGATATATACAACATCATACAATATATTAAGTAGATACTTCACACTACTTTGTCTTTTTAGAGTGGCACAATAATTTTTGGATCCTGCCATTTGATCGTCTCGTGCGTCTTACATGCTGAGACTGGGCTCAAGCGAGCTACTTTACGGATCGACGGCCACTGAAAATACTTCGATGGTTTGTCGCTAACTGGGGATTACCAGAAAACACTAATGAGATCTAATTAGGTGATGTTATTTGACGTCCGAATCAATTTCTTGGTGAGCAACATACAGTAAAATAGGATAACATAATAAAATAGGTGCTATAAATTACTGTAGTATGTTCAACCATATGAAGTATCGGGCTGCAGCTTGAATGAGAATCCTTCCAGAATCATCCTAGAATCATCCCACCAACTGTACAAACCCAACACAAGCTAGTGAATCCTGAATCTTTGCATATCTTAGCTGGGCAGCAATCCGGCTTAGATAATGATAAAACCATCTGGACCATATAATATCATATAATTATATAACCTGTCCTTGCAGTGGTATCACATGGTATCACCATCCCACAGCCGCCACAGCCCCATGTGGCACCATGGGCTGCGGCTCCAGCCGTGGCACCTTGGCGCAACGCTTGGAGGGCCTGGATGGCGAGGCCGCGAAAGCCTTGGTGGCCAAAGAAGTCCAGAAGGGACTCGAAACTCGGCAACGCTATGGCAACGCTACCGTCGGACCGAATGCACAGTCGAATGCACAGTCGAGCTCCAGTCAAACATGGTTAAACTTTGTTAAAACATGTTAAAACTACAATATCAACATTAATATATCAACTGTATGTTCAACTACAATATCACCATGAAATCCAAATAATCCAAGTGACATTGGAAGCAACATAGACTATGCACTGCTGAATCTGACTCCGATCCTGGGACTGTCGTAGCTTCGCAGCGATTTACCCAGGATTTGAACTCCGCTGACGGCACAATCCTCGCAGAGGCAGTCCTTCGCCGTGTCAAGGCAAAAGCATTGGAGGCGGGTCTCATTCCCAAAGGTCACGCAAGGAGCATGTATCACTGGCTGATGCTTGGTTTTTTTTTGTTAACCACCTTTGACATTTGTTGAGATTTGTTGATAAATGTTGAAACATTTTGATTCTAAGAATATAATTATTGGATGTGTGAGACCTGAAGGCGTCGATTCAAAACTTTGGAACTTGGAAAAGCGTCTCTGTTCAGTCAGGTTGTTCAGCTAACCCCAAGGCCCAAAAGTTATCCTGTTGGATGCTGTTGCCAACATTTCCCACAGTTTCCCTCTTTTCAATGATCTATTTATGTCTATTTAGTGCTGCACAAGCGGCATTCCAAGTCCTGTCAGGCCCTGTTGGTCGCTGGTGCCAAGATCACTTCGGAGGTCCATTTGGCGCTGCTCACGCGGCTCGATGCGAGTCATGGGGACGACCCCCGGTCGGTAGCAGCTTGGCTCAACGTTGATCTTTTGGGATAGAGACCCCAAAGTTCTATCCTTTTTTGGGGTGCAATGTTGGCTGTCATGCCATGGTAACATGATGTACACCCCTCATTCTTGGACAAACCCAAGTGGGAGCTGAAGTATGACCGAATCCATCCACTGACTTCTGATGATTCTTGATTATTCCTATTTATTCCTTATCATGCAATTCAGATGTTGGAACATAATCCCTTGATTCCCTAGACATGCATCGCACATCTTTGTGAGATCTCTCAGCCATGGATCAGTGTAGAGGTAAAGGTCTTCGTGGACCATGGGCTTGATGTGAACCTGGTGGACCCCAGTACGGCCCCCAGTGGTTCCGCTTCATACCCATTTCACATACCTGTTCTTTGGTGTTCGGCAAGCAGTGTTTTGTGTCACTCCCATCTCAGCTATGGTGCATAACAAGAGCCAGAACAAGACTGAACCAGGTTCTTTCCTGGATCTCGCTGGCACGGGACCACAAGATCGGGTCAATGATGGTCAATGCCAAGGTGAAAATGGTGGTGGTCGGACACTTCTCATCGCAGCAATACGCTCAGGCCTCCTGGATGGAACTTAGAACTTCTCAGGATCGATGTTTCTCAATGGAGCCGGCTTGTGTGAAATAGTGCTTCATTCCGCTTCATTCATTGTGCTTTCACAGTGACTAACTGAAAATGATTTCGGATCTTATGCGAGTAATTAACAACATTTTTCTTTGGCCAAGACATACAAAGAGATTTGCTTCACAAGAACTTTGCCAGAGGAAGACTTGACAGCCGTGACAAGCCGGGATATAGCTTTTCATAAGCTTTATAGAGGCCAAATCTGCGAAGTTTCCAGGAGTTTTCAATTCTAAGGAGGTTTGGTTTTAGTCGCTTGAGTCAGTTTTCTAGCGGCTGCGCATCACCAAAGACCGTTTAAGATCATTTATGCTTGTATATTGTTTGCAAAAAAGCTGAGCATAGGCAATGGATGGCAAGAATTTGGTCTAAAGAATGTGACTCTACGACTTTTTTCGGGATTTGCTGGTTTTTGGTACCTGGTACTTGCTGCTCTTTTTTTGGGGGTGATTTTGGGATAGATTGTTTAGTTTTCACTCACAAAAAGGGAAGTGTGAAGACCAAATGGTGCAGAATGCCTAAGGGGCCCTTAGGGGCCCTATGTGCAATCTACAAATGACACGGGTGTCTTTACACTGTTTTTTGTGAATTTACTTCATTCAGGAGTCTTGGATATATAGTTTCTCCTCATTTGATTGAAAAAGACACAAAACACCTAAAACCGCTCAAACATCTAGGATTTGGCTCTCCAGGTAACATATGTAGTATAGCTTACTTGGATAACTGTCTTCTGCACGTTGTTTCAGGCGACGTGCACCTTGTCGAGGAGACCTGATCTGGAACGCCGTGCAGCGGAGCTGCCCCTGTGGTAGCACAACTTGTGGGTTTGTAGAATTGGACCCAATGATATGAAATATGAAGGCGTGATGGGCAGGAGCTTTTGAGAGATGTTGAAAGATTTCAGCATCACATTGGGCATGAACAGTGAACCACACATATCGGATCATATCAGAGTCATTCATTCCTAAACGCAAGGATGCTTTGGTTGAGTTTTTGAGTTTGGAAACCATTGAGAGATTGTGTGTGTGCACAATTTATCTCTGAGCGAACCGCTGGATCCCTATCATTTAAAACCCCGTTGCTGCAGGAGTTGTTGAATTTGGGGGCTGACTTGACGAAGTCAGATTTGCATGGCAACACCCCTTTGCATGCGCAAAACTCAGAGAATTCACAGACACCTAACAGAGCAACCTGTGAGTGCCAGTCATATCCCACAGAAGTTCACAGATCTGATGGTGTTTTAAATCAGCCTTGAAAAATCAGCTGATCAATCAGCAAACCAGTCAGAGCCGAGGTGAATTAGGATCAACAACAGGTACAAAAAGATGATTGGAAAAACTCTCTCCAATATGCTGTTGCAGGTGGCGGCAGCACAAGCTCGTGAAGAAGCAGTCGATATTCTGCTTCAAAGAGGCCATACTGAGTTACTAGTGCTGATGTCTGGTGAAGGTCACTCACACACATGGGATTTCAAGAAAAGGACAAAGTCAGATATTTACATTCTGACAACAAGTTCACTGCTCGAATAATTTTGAAGAAAACCGCATACAGTGGGCTTTGCCTGAGATCAAGTACGTCGTACGTGCCATGCAACTACAACTACATATCAACTAAGTGTGACTGACTAAATGGATTAAATATGTGTGCACTCATGCGTGTGTTTTGCTGCAAACAGTTGCGCAGCCTGATCAGGAATTGTAGGCACTGTTTGATTTGCGAATGGTGATCATGGTGCAAATCACCTGAAGTATTTTTTGATGGTTCCGACATGTTCCGATCATGTATGTGCTTGTTGCAAAGGTGCAGCTGTCACAACCAAGAACGAGGATGGTCACTCTGCAGTGATGTCTGCACGTCCGCCCCCCGGAGGGATCGGACATCGGCAACTCTTGCTGGTATTTAATTATATTTAAAGTTTAAATATATTTAATTTAGGTGGCATGTGAGGATCTTTGGGCATGACCATTTGGCATGCCGGTTGACACACTTGATCGATGTTACTTTTGATATGCAAATACATGTGATAATTTTCAATTTGCACAGGCAGATGTCTTGAATATCTATCAGGGCAGAGGTTGAAGTTTCCCGCATGTGTCACTCTCTGAAAAGCTCGTACGTTTGGCTCCCTCTCGTCCCCCTACTCAAATGATTCGGCCCTGCATGTGGTCTCTTCTGGCAAGAGATAGGCCACTTTTTATGGTGGCTCCTCTGGCTCCAAAGCATGACTTTGCCATGTAGAAATGTAGACGTCCATTGGATCTCGCCAATTTGTGCTTTACAACCTGGGTCTCTGCATGTCTCTTCATTTGTCAATCATTTTGTTGCCATCCGATTTTTTTCCACACAGACATCGCGTTCGCACTGTGAGTCAGAGTCGGATTCGTCGGATTCAACGGATTCTGTAGGAGAATCATGGTGGGCCACAGGGCAACGGCCGGCAACGGCTGCCAGGTTTGGCTTCCTTGGCTCCGAATCTCAGATTGTCCAATGCTGGAGGCCTCTGAGGGACCCCCTTGTAAAACCCCTGTGGGAGAAGAGGAGCAACAAACCAAAGTGCTATATGAAAATGAGATCTTGACCGCTTTCACTCAGTCTTCTATTATTCTCTTCGTGTTTTCTGAAAGTTCAGGGTTTTTGTTGGGCTACCGGGCTACTGCAAATTTATTTGGCCCATATGGCCCGGATCTGTGCGGAAGACAGCTGGGCCGCTGATGCCTTTTTTTTGTTGGCTGAGCATGTGAGAAAACCGATGATATCCCACGATTTATCAAAGTGAATCCTCGTATCGAGCTTAAACACGCTTAAACCAAAATCGTAGCGAAGGAGATGGGATTGGATGAGACATGATGAGACAAAACATGGATTAAGTAGCATTGCTTGGTCAGGTGGAAACATAAGGATGCCAGATGTGAACATGAGAAAGCAAAAGAGCGATATAATATCATGAAAACATATGAACACTGACTATATGACCTTGGTATTGTATATCAAACAAACTCATTCCCTTTCAGCGCCGATGTTGGGTCCACAAACAGGATCATTCATGCTGACTCTGTCGACAATGAAATGCTGTAGGATGGCTCGATTCGGCTCAGCAAAACCAAAATCAGTCAATTCGATACGAAAGCACAGATCCATGCTTCTCGCATCAAATCCTTTTTCATGAAGTGCGTCGATCCTAGCATCTATCCTAGCAGAGTTGCAAAGAACATGCCACTGTGTTGGCATAGGTTTGCTGTGTTCTGCTGTTCAGAAACACAATGTGATGCACAGTCACCATTTCGCACTTGGAGACTATGGGAGATTCCTAAATCTTCATTGAGTTGAATCCACTCAGACTTGGACATGCCAAAGGTGAGTATTTGAGCCTCTCACGCAGCAGCTGGCGCAATATAGAAAATTAACCCTGTGGAATCCTGCTTCAATTCTGGCGGAGCTTTGCAATTTTTTGATCACCATGTTCCAGGTTTTTTAGGAGCATTGACGGGCTGATAAGGATTTTGTTTTTTTACTCTGTGGTTATGTCTGTGTGGAATCACAGAGGAGCAACACTTTGTATGTTTCTGTGGCTGTGACCTAGTTTTTGCCTTTCACTTTCTTGCGCATGTGCGTGCGGCGGACGCCTGGAGAATCCTGCAGATCTAATGAGGCCAGATCAACCTTGAAGTGCAGAGCCTCCTGGGGTATGTTTGAACTGTCTTGATGTCTTCGATGGAGATCATCGTTATTCTTTTTCGTTCAGGTCTTGCTTCTGCCGATGTCTCTTGTTGACATGACGCGAAGACACAGATGAAAGCAATAGTTTGGTTTGTGCAAAGTGAAATTCCTTCTATGGCTGGAGCATGATGACACCAACCTGCTATTTGGGCTCAAGCAATGCTACGTCTGCTACGTTTGAAGATGTTTCAACCTGCAATCTGCGCCAAAGTCTGTGCTTGCACTGGTTGATCCTTGCGGTCAGTTCCAAGCATTGTCAGTTAATTTTCTGACAATGCTCACGGCTACGGTTTTGAGCTGGCTGCTTTTCTTTGTGACCGCAATTGCGTACGAAACATGGCATCTTGTAGATTTGTCACAGGTCATTTGTCCCAAGCCAACCAGTAGCATGACCGATGCGCCCGAATTTCCGGAGTACAACCTGGGCATCAACTATACAAACGAGTTGCAGGTTGATGCACCACATATCGTTGGCTTCATTCGTGCCAGCAAGCAAGCTGTGTCAATCACCTTCAAGATTGAAGATTTCTATGGAGAGCAGGTGCAACAAATCTGCAAGTCTCCGAGAGATCACATGGCAATCTGATGCAATCTGATCACATTGGATTTAATTCGATGAATATTCGATGTTCTCATGTCCACAAAATCCATCCGAGATCCTTGTGGGTTTCATCAACTTTCATCGGCAGGTGGTTCCGGAGACAACGGTGGAGCTACAGGAGGGGAGCGATGCAATTCCTTCCGCGTGCAGTTGCACCAATCCCAATGTTCCACCAGAGGTCTCTGCTACATACGGAGCCTCGTTTGATTTATGGTGATGCGGATCCGGAATCTAATTATAGGGTGTACATATGTGCGTCTAATAAGCAAGGTGATGAAGTGATCATCTAAATGAAGCATTGTCTAAGCAAGGTGATTTGCAGACATATACACCATAGGGTTTGATTGCACGCATGTTCATTGTAAGGGCCTCAGCAGGTCATATGGGATCACATTCAAATCAAAGTGTCAGCTGGTTAGAACTGGTCAGAACTGGGTTGAACTGGTTGGCTGATTTGAAGGCTCTGCACATAGGATCTCGAAGCTGTGAAGTTGAGGTGTGGGCTATGGAAGTTCCTGCGGTAAATGGGATGAAGCCCGGTGTGGCACCCTTTGGGGCAATATCACTGTAGGCACATAGACCGCTGACCGCTGAGTCCTGAGAAGTTGATTCATGTTGATTCTAGATTCTAGAGTTGATCTCTGTCTCCGTTTTAAACTTTAAACATGTGCTATTTGGCTTGTGCAGAAGGCTTTGAGCTCAATTATCTTATATTCTACAGTATACATGTCAGTATACCTCATACTTCATTTTAAGCTCTTGGACGTCAGATAAGTACCAACTGGGTGCAAAGAAGATCACAGAAAGCCACTGTCGCAGGCGATTGGTGCTGTCGCTCTTGGTGCTATGCAACTGCTGACTGTCCAGATGCCTATCAAAGCCAAGCTATCCCCGGGCAGTTTTTCAGCTCCTTGGCACAGAGATGGCTGCTGCATGCAGCGGCTGTCGGATCAGCTTGCGATTGAAAACACATTGAACACACCAAGGCTATGCAGCCTGCTCTGTGACACATCCGCCACCAAGCACGTGCAGCTGGTCGGAAGTTCAGAAAAAGAGAGATTTCTGCAACTGTGCCTTGGCATAATATTGACTGCCACATACTGCCACGTAACCCTTCAATGCGCTATAAGCTGCCTCACTTGATGGGACCATTCTGGCTATAGCTTGAGCCTTAGGCCTCAACAGACACCACAGACTCAGTGTGGCTCTATGCTATGTTCATTTATTTTCAGAAGCGAAGCAATGAAACCAATATATATCCGCTTGAGTGTGTTCTTATATTAATTACACATCTCATGTTTTGCACCGCAAGGCAAGGATCAGAGCAGCCTTTTCAATGCTGCGATGCAAGCGAGCCTCGGTGCTTTCAGGTTTAACGTGATACGGATATATACGGATACGGTATGTTGCTTAACTTTGGACCCTCCACAATCCACCTGGGTTGGGTTAATTCCGGCAGAAACAATTGCGGTTTTCCATGATTTTCCTGTATCG